CCTTTCATTAGAAGAGGAATGCACAGGGACCATTCCAGTGGCAGCAGAGCCTCCAGGGACCATCCCAGAGCCCCTCCCAGGGACGGCGGCACCTCAAAGGACACTCCCAGGGGCATCCACACCCTCAGAGACCTTTCCAGGGACGTTAGTGCCCCCAGAGACCTTCCTAGGGGTTCCAGGGGGCCCTATGGCATGCTTGTTTGTTGTGTCATATTTTCGTACATTACACACTTCCCGAAGTCCCTTACTTAACTATGATTGGTGGACTTTTATCCCGCCAAATTACAGCCAATAGGAGAAGACAGCAGTCAGTCAGCACAACACCTCAACTTATGTTTTCCTGTTGATATTATTCTCCGTTACCTGCTTCAGAATGCGATGATACTGGTGGAAATGTGATGGGTCCTACAGGCCTTGCGCTCCCAGGGTCTATCTCAGGGGTGGTGTACATATCAGGAACCCTCCCAGGTGCCGCGATGCCCCCACGGCGCCACCCAGTGGTGACGGTGCCCCCAAGGGCACCTCGCAACATCAGTGGCATCCTCAGGTGCATTCTTAGGAGCGACGGCTCCCCAGGGACCCTGACTGGAGCAGTGGAGCCTGTAAGGACCTTCCCAGGGGCAGGACAGTCCCCAAGGACCATCCCAGAAACCGTTCCTGGAGCAGTGGTGCACTGGAAACTCTCCCAGGTTCGGTGGCGCCCCCAGGGACCCTCCCAAGGGCGGTGGTGCACCTAGAGTCACTCCAATTGGAAGAGGAGTGCCAAGGGACCATTGCAGGGGCAGCAGAGCCTCCAGGGACCATCCCGGAGATGGTGGCACCTCAAAGGACACTCCCAGGTGCATCCACACCTCCAGAGACCTTTTCAGGGACGTTAGTGCCCCCAGAGACCTTCCTAGGGGTCCCAGGGGACCCTATGGCATGCTTGTTTGTTGTGTCATATTTTCGTACGTACATACTTCCCGAAGTCCCTTACTTAACTATGATTGGTGGACTTTTAACCCGCCAAATTACAGCCAATAGGAGAAGAGAGCAGTCAGTCAGCACAACACCTCAACTTATGTTTTCCTGTTGATATTATTTTCCGTTACCTGCTTCAGAATGCGATGATACTGGTGGAAATGTGATGGGCGGTGTATTTTATTTAACGTTGCATCTCCCAGAGTAATAAATTGAGCATAAACTACTGCACCCATGTGTTCTACAGGCCTGGCGATCCCAGGGTCTATCTCAGGGGTGGTGTACATATCAGGAACCCTCCCAGGTGCCGCGACGCCCCCACGGTGCCACCCAGTGGTGACGGTGCCCCCAAGGGCACCTCGCAACATCAGTGGCATCCTCAGGTGCATTCATAGGAGCGACGGCTCCCCAGGGACCCTGACTGGAGCAGCGGAGCCTGCAGGGACCTACCCAGGGGCAGCGCAGCCCCCAGGGACAATCCTAGAAGCCGTTCAAGGGGCAGTGATGTACTGGAAACCCTCCCAGGGTCGGTGGCGCCCCCAGGGACCCTTCCAGGGGCGGTGGTGCGCCTGGGGTCCCTCTCATTGGAAGAGGAATGCACAGGTACCATTCCAGTGGCAGCAGAGCCTCCGGGGACCATCCCAGAGATCGTCCCAGACGCGGTGGAACCTCAAAGGACACTCCCAGGGGCATCCACACCCCTAGAGACCCTTCTAGGGACGTAAGTGCCCCCAGAGACTTTCCTAGGGGTCCCAGGGGGCCCTATGGCATGCTTGTTTGTTTTGTCATATTTTCGACATTTCATACTTCCTGAAGTCCCTTTCTTAACTGTGATTGGTGGAATATTCTTTTAACCCGATAAATTACAGCCAATAGGAAAAGAGAGCAGTCAGTCAGCACAACACCCCAACTTCTGTTTTCCTGTTGATATTATTCACCGTTACCTTCTTCAAAATGTGATGATACTGGTGGAAATGTCATGGGCGGTGTATTTATTTTATGTTGCATCTCCCAGAGTAATAAATTGAGCATAAACTACTGCACCCATGGGTCCTACAGGCCTGGCGGTCCCAGGGGCCATCCCAGGGGTGGTGACATCTGAGGAACCCTTCCAGATGCCGCGACGCCCCAGGGTTCCCCCCAATGGTGACTGTGCCCCCAGGGAGCCTCGCAACAACAGCGGTATCCTCAGGTGCATTCTCAGGAACAACGGCGCCCCAGGGACCCTGACTGGAGCAGTGGAGCCTGTAGGGACCTTCCCAGGGGCAGCACAGTCCCCAGGGACCATCCCAGAAACCGTTCCAGGAGCAGTGGTGCACTGGAAACTCTCCCAGGATCGGTGGCGCCCCCAGGGACCCTCCCAAGGGCGGTGGTGCACCTAGAGTCAGTCCCATTGGAAGAGGAGTGCCAAGGGACCATTGCAGGGGCAGCAGAGCCTCCAGGGACCATCCCAGAGACGGCGGCACCTCAAAGGACACTCCCAGGTGCATCCACACCTCCAGAGACCCTTTCAGGGACGTTAGTGCCCCCAGAGACCTTCCTAGGGGTCCCAGGGGACCCTATGGCATGCTTGTTTGTTGTGTCATATTTTCGTACATTACACACTTCCCGAAGTCCCTTACTTAACTATGATTGGTGGACTTTTAACCCGACAAATTACAGCCAATAGGAGAAGAGAGCAGTCAGTCAGCACAACACCTCAACTTATGTTTTCCTGTTGATATTATTCTCCGTTACCTTCTTCAAAATGCGATGATACTGGTGGAAATGTGACGGGCGGTGTATTTATTTAACGTTGCATCTCCCAGAGTAATAAATTGAGCATAAACTACTGCACCCATGGGTCCTACAGGCCTGGCGATCCCAGGGTCTATCTCAGGGGTGGTGTACATATCAGGAACCCTCCCAGGTGCCGCGACGCCCCCACGGTGCCACCCAGTGGTGACGGTGCCCCCAAGGGCACCTCGCAACATCAGTGGCATCCTCAGGTGCATTCTTAGGAGCGACGGCTCCGCAGGGACCCTGACTGGAGCAGTGGAGCCTGTAGGGACCTTCCCAGGGGCAGGACAGTCCCCAGGGACCATCCCAGAAACCGTTCCTGGAGCAGTGGTGCACTGGAAGCTCTCCCAGGTTCGGTGGCGCCCCCAGGGACCCTCCCAAGGGCGGTGGTGCACCTAGAGTCACTCCCATTGGAAGAGGAGTGCCAAGGGACCATTGCAGGGGCAGCAGAGCCTCCAGGGACCATCCCGGAGATGGCGGCACCTCAAAGGACACTCCCAGGTGCATCCACACCTCCAGAGACCTTTTCAGGGACGTTAGTGCCCCCAGAGACCTTCCTAGGGGTCCCAGGGGACCCTATGGCATGCTTGTTTGTTGTGTCATATTTTCGTACATTACACACTTCCCGAAGTCCCTTACTTAACTATGATTGGTGGTGGACTTTTGAACCTGCCAAATGCAAGCTTTAATAGAGAAGAGAGCAGTCAGTCACACAACACCTCCTCAACTTATAGTTTTCCTTGTTGATATTATTCGCCACCGCCCAGAATGATGATACTCTGCAGCAGAGGCGGGTGTATTTTATTTAACGTTGCATCTCCTGGTGGTAGAGAAAATTGGAGAAGAACGCCTGCAACCCATGTGTGGTCCGGTAGGCTCAAGTCTGGTAGTCTGCAGCCCCTGTGGTGGTGTACATATCAGGAACCCCTAGGTTGAGCTTCCATGGCGCGGCTCGGTGACGGTGCCCCCAAGGGCACCTCGCAACATCAGTGGCATCCTCAGGTGCATTCTTAGGAGCGACGGCTCCCCAGGGACCCTGACTGGAGCAGCGGAGCCTGCAGGGACCTACCCAGGGGCAGCGCAGCCTCCAGCGACCATCCCAGAAACCGTTCCAGGGGCAGTGGTGCACTGGAAACCCTCCCAGGGTCGGTGGCGCCCCCAGGGACCCTCCCAGGGGCGGTGGTGCATCTGGGGTCCCTCTCATTGGAAGAGGAATGCACAGGGACCATTCCAGTGGCAGCAGAGCCTCCAGGGACCATCCCAGAGACCCTCCCAGAGATGGTGGCACCTCAAAGCTCACTCCCAGGGGCATCCACACCCCGAGAGACCTTTCCAGGGACGTTATTGGTCCCAGAGACCTTCCTAGAGGTCTCAGGGGGCTCTATGGCATTACTGTTTGTTGTGTCATATTTTCTTACAGTACATACTTCCCGAAGTCCCTTACTTAACTATGATTGGTGGACTTTTAACCCGCCAAATTACAGCCAACAGGAGGAGAGAGCAGTCGGTCAGCACAACACCCCAACTTATGTTTTCCTGTTGATATTATTCGCCGTTACCTTCTTCAAAATGCGATGATACTGGTGGAAAAGTGATGGGCGGTGTATTTATTTAACGTTGCATCTGCCAGAGAAATAAATTGAGCATAAACTACTAAACCCATGGGTCCTAAAAACCTTGGGCTCCCAGAGGACATCTCAGGGATTGTGGACATATCAGGAACCCTCCCAGGTGCCGCGACGCCCCTAGGGTGCCCCCCAGTGGTGACGGTACCCCCAGGGGCCCTTGCAACATCAGTGGCATCCTCAGGTGCATCCTCAAGAGCGACGGTACCCCAGGGACCCTGACTGGAGCAGCGATTGGTGGCCCAGGCGCAGCCCCAGAGACCAGACCTCTAGGGCCGGGTGGTCATCGAGAACCTCCCCAGGGTTTGCAGGCGGCCCTGTGAATCCCACCCAGGTCGGTGGTGCACCGTCCACAGATATAATGGCCAGACCCATTCTGTGGGCAGGTCGGTGACCATCCCAGAGCCTCCGAGGATGCGTGCACCCTGTAAGGAGTCACCTGAGGCATCCACACCCCAGAGACCTTTTCTAGGGACGTTATGCCCCCAAGACCTTCCGAGGGTTTCCAGCAAGCAGCTGCTTGTTGGGGCTTGTTTTCACATTACACACTTCCCGAAGTCCCTTACTTAACTATGATTGGTGGACTTTTATCCCGCCAAATTACAGCCAATAGGAGAAGACAGCAGTCAGTCAGCACAACACCTCAACTTATGTTTTCCTGTTGATATTATTCTCCGTTACCTGCTTCAGAATGCGATGATACTGGTGGAAATGTGATGGGTCCTACAGGCCTTGCGCTCCCAGGGTCTATCTCAGGGGTGGTGTACATATCAGGAACCCTCCCAGGTGCCGCGATGCCCCCACGGCGCCACCCAGTGGTGACGGTGCCCCCAAGGGCACCTCGCAACATCAGTGGCATCCTCAGGTGCATTCTTAGGAGCGACGGCTCCCCAGGGACCCTGACTGGAGCAGTGGAGCCTGTAAGGACCTTCCCAGGGGCAGGACAGTCCCCAAGGACCATCCCAGAAACCGTTCCTGGAGCAGTGGTGCACTGGAAACTCTCCCAGGTTCGGTGGCGCCCCCAGGGACCCTCCCAAGGGCGGTGGTGCACCTAGAGTCACTCCAATTGGAAGAGGAGTGCCAAGGGACCATTGCAGGGGCAGCAGAGCCTCCAGGGACCATCCCGGAGATGGTGGCACCTCAAAGGACACTCCCAGGTGCATCCACACCTCCAGAGACCTTTTCAGGGACGTTAGTGCCCCCAGAGACCTTCCTAGGGGTCCCAGGGGACCCTATGGCATGCTTGTTTGTTGTGTCATATTTTCGTACATTACACACTTCCCGAAGTCCCTTACTTAACTATGATTGGTGGACTTTTAACCCGACAAATTACAGGCATTAGGAGAAGAGAGCAGTCAGTCAGCACAACGCCTCAACTTATGTTTACCTGTTGATATTATTCTCCGTTACCTTCTTCAAAATGCGATGATACTGGTGGAAATGTGACGGGCTGTGTATTTATTTAACGTTGCATCTCCCAGAGTAATAAATTGAGCATAAACTACTGCACCCATAGGTCCTACAGGCCTGGCGCTCCCAGGGACTATCTCAGGGGTGGTGGACATATCAGGAACCCTCCCAGGTGCCGCGACGCCCCCAGGGTGCCCCCCAGTGTTGACGGTGCCCCTAGGGGCCCTCGCAACATCAGTGGCATACTCAGGTGCATTCTTAGGAGCGACGGTACCCCAGGGACCCTGACTGGAGCAGCGGAGCCTGCAGGGACCTACCCAGGGGCAGCGCAGCCTCCAGCGACCATCCCAGAAACCGTTCCAGGGGCAGTGGTGCACTGGAAACCCTCCCAGGGTCGGTGGCGCCCCCAGGGACCCTCCCAGGGGCGGTGGTGCATCTGGGGTCCCTCTCATTGGAAGAGGAATGCACAGGGACCATTCCAGTGGCAGCAGAGCCTCCAGGGACCATCCCAGAGACCCTCCCAGAGATGGTGGCACCTCAAAGCTCACTCCCAGGGGCATCCACACCCCGAGAGACCTTTCCAGGGACGTTATTGGTCCCAGAGACCTTCCTAGAGGTCTCAGGGGGCTCTATGGCATTACTGTTTGTTGTGTCATATTTTCTTACAGTACATACTTCCCGAAGTCCCTTACTTAACTATGATTGGTGGACTTTTAACCCGCCAAATTACAGCCAACAGGAGGAGAGAGCAGTCGGTCAGCACAACACCCCAACTTATGTTTTCCTGTTGATATTATTCGCCGTTACCTTCTTCAAAATGCGATGATACTGGTGGAAATGTGATGGGCGGTGTATTTATTTTACGTTGCATCTCCCAGAGAAATAAATTGAGCATAAACTACTAAACCCATGGGTCCTAAAAACCTTGGGCTCCCAGAGGACATCTCAGGGGTTGTGGACATATCAGGAACCCTCCCAGGTGCCGCGACGCCCCTAGGGTGCCCCCCAGTGGTGACGGTACCCCCAGGGGCCCTTGCAACAACAGTGGCATCCTCAGGTGCATCCTCAAGAGCGACGGCACCCCTGGGACCCTGACTGGAGCAGCGGAGCCTGCAGGGACCTACCCAGGGGCAGCGCAGCCCCCAGAGACCATCCCACAGACCGTTTCAGGGGTCAGTAGCTCACCGAGAACCCTCCCAGGGTCGGTGGCGCCCCCAGGGGTCCCTCCCAGGGTCGGTGGTGCACCTGGGGTCCCTTTCATTAGAAGAGGAATGCACAGGGACCATTCCAGTGGCAGCAGAGCCTCCAGGGACCATCCCAGAGCCCCTCCCAGGGACGGCGGCACCTCAAAGGACACTCCCAGGGGCATCCACACCCTCAGAGACCTTTCCAGGGACGTTAGTGCCCCCAGAGACCTTCCTAGGGGTTCCAGGGGGCCCTATGGCATGCTTGTTTGTTGTGTCATATTTTCGTACATTACACACTTCCCGAAGTCCCTTACTTAACTATGATTGGTGGACTTTTATCCCGCCAAATTACAGCCAATAGGAGAAGACAGCAGTCAGTCAGCACAACACCTCAACTTATGTTTTCCTGTTGATATTATTCTCCGTTACCTGCTTCAGAATGCGATGATACTGGTGGAAATGTGATGGGCGGTGTATTTTATTTAACGTTGCATCTCCCAGAGTAATAAATTGAGCATAAACTACTGCACCCATGGGTCCTACAGGCCTGGCGCTCCCAGGGTCTATCTCAGGGGTGGTGTACATATCAGGAACCCTCCCAGGTGCCGCGACGCCCCCACGGTGCCACCCAGTGGTGACGGTGCCCCCAAGGGCACCTCGCAACATCAGTGGCAACCTCAGGTGCATTCTTAGGAGAGACGGCTCCCCAGGGACCCTGACTGGAGCAGTGGAGCCTGTAGGGACCTTCCCAGGGGCAGGACAGTCCCCAGGGACCATCCCAGAAACCGTTCCTGGAGCAGTGGTGCACTGGAAACTCTCCCATGTTCGGTGGCGCCCCCAGGGACCCTTCCAGGGGCGGTGGTGCGCCTGGGGTCCCTCTCATTGGAAGAGGAGTGCCAAGGGACCATTGCAGGGGCAGCAGAGCCTCCAGGGACCATCCCGGAGATGGCGGCACCTCAAAGGACACTCCCAGGTGCATCCACACCTCCAGAGACCTTTTCAGGGACGTTAGTGCCCCCAGAGACCTTCCTAGGGGTCCCAGGGGACCCTATGGCATGCTTGTTTGTTGTGTCATATTTTCGTACATTACACACTTCCCGAAGTCCCTTACTTAACTATGATTGGTGGACTTTTAACCCGACAAATTACAGGCATTAGGAGAAGAGAGCAGTCAGTCAGCACAACGCCTCAACTTATGTTTTCCTGTTGATATTATTCTCCGTTACCTTCTTCAAAATGTGATGATACTGGTGGAAATGTGACGGGCTTTGTATTTATTTAACGTTGCATCTCCCAGAGTAATAAATTGAGCATAAACTACTGCACCCATAGGTCCTACAGGCCTGGCGCTCCCAGGGACTATCTCAGGGGTGGTGGACATATCAGGAACCCTCCCACGTGCCGCGACGCCCCCAGGGTGTCCCCCAGTGTTGACGGTGCCCCCAGGGGCCCTCGCAACATCAGTGGCATACTCAGGTGCATTCTTAGGAGCAACGGTACCCCAGGGACCCTGACTGGAGCAGCGGAGCCTGCAGGGACCTACCCAGGGGCAGCGCAGCCTCCAGCGACCATCCCAGAAACCGTTCCAGGGGCAGTGGTGCACTGGAAACCCTCCCAGGGTCGGTGGCGCCCCCAGGGACCATCCCAGGGGCGGTGGTGCATCTGGGGTCCCTCTCATTGGAAGAGGAATGCACAGGGACCATTCCAGTGGCAGCAGAGCCTCCAGGGACCATCCCAGAGACCCTCCCAGAGATGGTGGCACCTCAAAGCACACTCCCAGGGGCATCCACACCCCGAGAGACCTTTCCAGGGACGTTATTGGTTCCAGAGACCTTCCTAGAGGTCCCAGGGGGCTCTATGGCATTACTGTTTGTTGTGTCATATTTTCTTACATTACATACTTCCCGAAGTCCCTTACTTAACTATGATTGGTGGACTTTTAACCCGCCAAATTACAGCCAACAGGAGGAGAGAGCAGTCGGTCAGCACAACACCCCAACTTATGTTTTCCTGTTGATATTATTCGCCGTTACCTTCTTCAAAATGCGATGATACTGGTGGAAATGTGATGGGCGGTGTATTTATTTAACGTTGCATCTCCCAGAGTAATAAATTGAGCATAAACTACTGCACCCATGGGTCCTACAGGCCTGGCGCTCCCAGAGGACATCTCAGGGGTTGTGGACATATCAGGAACCCTCCCAGGTGCCGCGACGCCCCTAGGGTGCCCCCCAGTGGTGACGGTACCCCCAAGGGGCCCTTGCAACATCAGTGGCATCCTCAGGTGCATCCTGAGGAGCGACGGCACCCCTGGGACCCTGACTGGAGCAGCGGAGCCTGCAGGGACCTACCCAGGGGCAGCGCAGCCCCCAGAGACCATCCCACAGACCGTTTCAGGGGTCAGTAGCTCACCGAGAACCCTCCCAGGGTCGGTGGCGCCCCCAGGGGTCCCTCCCAGGGTCGGTGGTGCACCTGGGGTCCCTTTCATTAGAAGAGGAATGCACAGGGACCATTCCAGTGGCAGCAGAGCCTCCAGGGACCATCCCAGAGCCCCTCCCAGGGACGGCGGCACCTCAAAGGACACTCCCAGGGGCATCCACACCCTCAGAGACCTTTCCAGGGACGTTAGTGCCCCCAGAGACCTTCCTAGGGGTTCCAGGGGGCCCTATGGCATGCTTGTTTGTTGTGTCATATTTTCGTACATTACACACTTCCCGAAGTCCCTTACTTAACTATGATTGGTGGACTTTTATCCCGCCAAATTACAGCCAATAGGAGAAGACAGCAGTCAATCAGCACAACACCTCAACTTATGTTTTCCTGTTGATATTATTCTCCGTTACCTGCTTCAGAATGCGATGATACTGGTGGAAATGTGATGGGCGGTGTATTTTATTTAACGTTGCATCTCCCAGAGTAATAAATTGAGCATAAACTACTGCACCCATGGGTCCTACAGGCCTGGCGCTCCCAGGGTCTATCTCAGGGGTGGTGTACATATCAGGAACCCTCCCAGGTGCCGCGATGCCCCCACGGCGCCACCCAGTGGTGACGGTGCCCCCAAGGGCACCTCGCAACATCAGTGGCATCCTCAGGTGCATTCTTAGGAGCGACGGCTCCCCAGGGACCCTGACTGGAGCAGTGGAGCCTGTAAGGACCTTCCCAGGGGCAGGACAGTCCCCAAGGACCATCCCAGAAACCGTTCCTGGAGCAGTGGTGCACTGGAAACTCTCCCAGGTTCGGTGGCGCCCCCAGGGACCCTCCCAAGGGCGGTGGTGCACCTAGAGTCACTCCCATTGGAAGAGGAGTGCCAAGGGACCATTGCAGGGGCAGCAGAGCCTCCAGGGACCATCCCGGAGATGGCGACACCTCAAAGGACACTCCCAGGTGCATCGACACCTCCAGAGACCTTTTCAGGGACGTTAGTGCCCCCAGAGACCTTCCTAGGGGTCCCAGGGGACCCTATGGCATGCTTGTTTGTTGTGTCATATTTTCGTACATTACATACTTCCCGAAGTCCCTTACTTAACTATGATTGGTGAACTTTTATCCCGCCAAATTACAGCCAATAGGAGAAGAGAGCAGTCAGTCAGCACAACACCTCAACTTATGTTTTCCTGTTGATATTATTCTCCGTTACCTGCTTCAGAATGCGATGATACTGGTGGAAATGTGATGGGCGGTGTATTTTATTTAACGTTGCATCTCCCAGAGTAATAAATTGAGCATAAACTACTGCACCCATGGGTCCTACAGGCCTGGCGCTCCCAGGGTCTATCTCAGGGGTGGTGTACATATCAGGAACCCTCCCAGGTGCCGCGACGCCCCCACGGCGCCACCCAGTGGTGACGGTGCCCCCAAGGGCACCTCGCAACATCAGTGGCATCCTCAGGTGCATTCTTAGGAGCGACGGCTCCCCAGGGACCCTGACTGGAGCAGTGGAGCCTGTAGGGACCTTCCCAGGGGCAGGACAGTCCCCAGGGACCATCCCAGAAACCGTTCCTGGAGCAGTGGTGCACTGGAAACTCTCCCAGGTTCGGTGGCGCCCCCAGGGACCCTCCCAAGGGCGGTGGTGCACCTAGAGTCACTCCCATTGGAAGAGGAGTGCCAAGGGACCATTGCAGGGGCAGCAGAGCCTCCAGGGACCATCCCGGAGATGGCGGCACCTCAAAGGACACTCCCAGGTGCATCCACACCTCCAGAGACCTTTTCAGGGACGTTAGTGCCCCCAGAGACCTTCCTAGGGGTCCCAGGGGACCCTATGGCATGCTTGTTTGTTGTGTCATATTTTCGTACATTACATACTTCCCGAAGTCCCTTACTTAACTATGATTGGTGGACTTTTAACCCGCCAAATTACAGCCAATAGGAGAAGAGAGCAGTCAGTCAGCACAACACCTCAACTTATGTTTTCCTGTTGATATTATTCTCCGTTACCTGCTTCAGAATGCGATGATACTGGTGGAAATGTGACGGGCGGTGTATTTATTTAACGTTGCATCTCCCAGAGTAATAAATTGAGCATAAACTACTGCACCCATGGGTCCTACAGCCTGGCGCTCCCAGGGCTATCTCAGGGGTGGTGACATATCAGAACCCTCCCAGGTGCGCAGCCCCGGCGCCCCCAGGTGGTGGCACCTCGCGCATCAGTGGCATCCTCAGGTGCATTCTTAGGGACGGTCCCCAGGGACCCTGACGGAGCAGTGGGCCTGTGGGTCCCAGGGCAGGCAGCCCCAGGGACCATCCAGAAACCGTTCCAGGGCAGTGGTGCACTGGAAACCTCCCCAGGTCGGTGGCTTTGGGGACCTCCCAGGGTGGAGTGCTCCGTTGGAAGAGAATGCAAGGGATGCAGGGCATGCCTCCAGGGCCATGAATGTGGCTCAAGAAGACTTGTCCAAGAGACCTTTTAGGACGTTAATAGAAGAGATTCCTAAGATCCCAGGGGTGGCATGCTGTTTGTTGTGTCATATTTTCGTACATTACATACTTCCCGAAGTCCCTTACTTAACTATGATTGGTGGACTTTTAACCCGCCAAATTACAGCCAATAGGAGAAGAGAGCAGTCAGTCAGCACAACACCTCAACTTATGTTTTCCTGTTGATATTATTCTCCGTTACCTTCTTCAAAATGCGATGATACTGGTGGAAATGTGATGGGCGGTGTATTTTATTTAACGTTGCATCTCCCAGAGTAATAAATTGAGCATAAACTACTGCACCCATGGGTCCTACAGGCCTGGCGCTCCCAGGGTCTATCTCAGGGGTGGTGTACATATCAGGAACCCTCCCAGGTGCCGCGACGCCCCCACGGTGCCACCCAGTGGTGACGGTGCCCCCAGGGGCCCTCGCAACATCAGTGGCATACTCAGGTGCATTCTTAGGAGCGACGGTACCCCAGGGACCCTGACTGGAGCAGCGGAGCCTGCAGGGACCTACCCAGGGGCAGCGCAGCCTCCAGCGACCATCCCAGAAACCGTTCCAGGGGCAGTGGTGCACTGGAAACCCTCCCAGGGTCGGTGGCGCCCCCAGGGACCCTCCCAGGGGCGGTGGTGCATCTGGGGTCCCTCTCATTGGAAGAGGAATGCACAGGGACCATTCCAGTGGCAGCAGAGCCTCCAGGGACCATCCCAGAGACCCTCCCAGAGATGGTGGCACCTCAAAGCACACTCCCAGGGGCATCCACACCCCGAGAGACCTTTCCAGGGACGTTATTGGTCCCAGAGACCTTCCTAGAGGTCCCAGGGGGCTCTATGGCATTACTGTTTGTTGTGTCATATTTTCTTACATTACATACTTCCCGAAGTCCCTTACTTAACTATGATTGGTGGACTTTTAACCCGCCAAATTACAGCCAACAGGAGGAGAGAGCAGTCGGTCAGCACAACACCCCAACTTATGTTTTCCTGTTGATATTATTCGCCGTTACCTTCTTCAAAATGCGATGATACTGGTGGAAATGTGATGGGCGGTGTATTTATTTAACGTTGCATCTGCCAGAGAAATAAATTGAGCATAAACTACTAAACCCATGGGTCCTAAAAACCTTGGGCTCCCAGAGGACATCTCAGGGGTTGTGGACATATCAGGAACCCTCCCAGGTGCCGCGACGCCCCTAGGGTGCCCCCCAGTGGTGACGGTACCCCCAGGGGCCCTTGCAACATCAGTGGCATCCTCAGGTGCATCCTCACTGGAGAGCGGACAGGGACCTACCCAGGGGCAGCGCACCCCAGGAGACCCTCACCGAGACGGTGGAGCAGGGCGGAGCCTGCAGGGACCATACCCAGGGGCAGCGCACCTCAGCCTCCAGCGACCATCCTAGGGGTTTAATGCGTTTGCACTTCCCGAAGTCCCTTACTTAACTATGATTGGTGGACTTTTATCCCGCCAAATTACAGCCAATAGGAGAAGACAGCAGTCAGTCAGCACAACACCTCAACTTATGTTTTCCTGTTGATATTATTCTCCGTTACCTGCTTCAGAATGCGATGATACTGGTGGAAATGTGATGGGTCCTACAGGCCTTGCGCTCCCAGGGTCTATCTCAGGGGTGGTGTACATATCAGGAACCCTCCCAGGTGCCGCGATGCCCCCACGGCGCCACCCAGTGGTGACGGTGCCCCCAAGGGCACCTCGCAACATCAGTGGCATCCTCAGGTGCATTCTTAGGAGCGACGGCTCCCCAGGGACCCTGACTGGAGCAGTGGAGCCTGTAAGGACCTTCCCAGGGGCAGGACAGTCCCCAAGGACCATCCCAGAAACCGTTCCTGGAGCAGTGGTGCACTGGAAACTCTCCCAGGTTCGGTGGCGCCCCCAGGGACCCTCCCAAGGGCGGTGGTGCACCTAGAGTCACTCCAATTGGAAGAGGAGTGCCAAGGGACCATTGCAGGGGCAGCAGAGCCTCCAGGGACCATCCCGGAGATGGTGGCACCTCAAAGGACACTCCCAGGTGCATCCACACCTCCAGAGACCTTTTCAGGGACGTTAGTGCCCCCAGAGACCTTCCTAGGGGTCCCAGGGGACCCTATGGCATGCTTGTTTGTTGTGTCATATTTTCGTACATTACACACTTCCCGAAGTCCCTTACTTAACTATGATTGGTGGACTTTTAACCCGACAAATTACAGCCAATAGGAGAAGAGAGCAGTCAGTCAGCACAACGCCTCAACTTATGTTTTCCTGTTGATATTATTCTCCGTTACCTTCTTCAAAATGCGATGATACTGGTGGAAATGTGACGGGCGGTGTATTTATTTAACGTTGCATCTCCCAGAGTAATAAATTGAGCATAAACTACTGCACCCATAGGTCCTACAGGCCTGGCGCTCCCAGGGACTATCTCAGGGGTGGTGGACATATCAGGAACCCTCCCAGGTGCCACGACGCCCCCAGGGTGCCCCCCAGTGTTGACGGTGCCCCCAGGGGCCCTCGCAACATCAGTGGCATACTCAGGTGCATTCTTAGGAGCGACGGTACCCCAGGGACCCTGACTGGAGCAGCGGAGCCTGCAGGGACCTACCCAGGGGCAGCGCAGCCTCCAGCGACCATCCCAGAAACCGTTCCAGGGGCAGTGGTGCACTGGAAACCCTCCCAGGGTCGGTGGCGCCCCCAGGGACCCTCCCAGGGGCGGTGGTGCATCTGGGGTCCCTCTCATTGGAAGAGGAATGCACAGGGACCATTCCAGTGGCAGCAGAGCCTCCAGGGACCATCCCAGAGACCCTCCCAGAGATGGTGGCACCTCAAAGCACACTCCCAGGGGCATCCACACCCCGAGAGACCTTTCCAGGGACGTTATTTCCCAGAGACCTTCCTAGAGGTCCCAGGGGGCTCTATGGCATTACTGTTTGTTGTGTCATATTTTCTTACATTACATACTTCCCGAAGTCCCTTACTTAACTATGATTGGTGGACTTTTAACCCGCCAAATTACAGCCAACAGGAGGAGAGAGCAGTCGGTCAGCACAACACCCCAACTTATGTTTTCCTGTTGATATTATTCGCCGTTACCTTCTTCAAAATGCGATGATACTGGTGGAACTGTGATGGGCGGTGTATTTCTTTAACGTTGCATCTCCCAGAGAAATAAATTGAGCATAAACTACTAAACCCATGGGTCCTAAAAACCTTGGGCTCCCAGAGGACATCTCAGGGGTTGTGGACATATCAGGAACCCTCCCAGGTGCCGCGACGCCCCTAGGGTGCCCCCCAGTGGTGACGGTACCCCCAGGGGCCCTTGCAACATCAGTGGCATCCTCAGGTGCATCCTAGCACCCCTGGGACCCTGACTGGAGCAGCGGAGCCTGCAGGGACCTACCCAGGGGCAGCGCAGCCCCCAGAGACCATCCCACAGACCGTTTCAGGGGTCAGTAGCTCACCGAGAACCCTCCCAGGGTCGGTGGCGCCCCCAGGGGTCCCTCCCAGGGTCGGTGGTGCACCTGGGGTCCCTTTCATTAGAAGAGGAATGCACAGGGACCATTCCAGTGGCAGCAGAGCCTCCAGGGACCATCCCAGAGCCCCTCCCAGGGACGGCGGCACCTCAAAGGACACTCCCAGGGGCATCCACACCCTCAGAGACCTTTCCAGGGACGTTAGTGCCCCCAGAGACCTTCCTAGGGGTTCCAGGGGGCCCTATGGCATGCTTGTTTGTTGTGTCATATTTTCGTACATTACATACTTCCCGAAGTCCCTTACTTAACTATGATTGGTGGACTTTTATCCCGCCAAATTACAGCCAATAGGAGAAGAGAGCAGTCATCAGCACAACACCTCAACTTATGTTTTCCTGTTGATATTATTCTCCGTTACCTGCTTCAGAATGCGATGATACTGGTGGAAATGTGATGGGCGGTGTATTTTATTTAACGTTGCATCTCCCAGAGTAATAAATTGAGCATAAACTACTGCACCCATGGGTCCTACAGGCCTGGCGCTCCCAGGGTCTATCTCAGGGGTGGTGTACATATCAGGAACCCTCCCAGGTGCCGCGACGCCCCCACGGCGCCACCCAGTGGTGACGGTGCCCCCAAGGGCACCTCGCAACATCAGTGGCATCCTCAGGTGCATTCTTAGGAGCGACGGCTCCCCAGGGACCCTGACTGGAGCAGTGGAGCCTGTAAGGACCTTCCCAGGGGCAGGACAGTCCCCAGGGACCATCCCAGAAACCGTTCCTGGAGCAGTGGTGCACTGGAAACTCTCCCAGGTTCGGTGGCGCCCCCAGGGACCCTCCCAAGGGCGGTGGTGCACCTAGAGTCACTCCCATTGGAAGAGGAGTGCCAAGGGACCATTGCAGGGGCAGCAGAGCCTCCAGGGACCATCCCGGAGATGGCGGCACCTCAAAGGACACTCCCAGGTGCATCCACACCTCCAGAGACCTTTTCAGGGACGTTAGTGCCCCCAGAGACCTTCCTAGGGGTCCCAGGGGACCCTATGGCATGCTTGTTTGTTGTGTCATATTTTCGTACATTACATACTTCCCGAAGTCCCTTACTTAACTATGATTGGTGGACTTTTATCCCGCCAAATTACAGCCAATAGGAGAAGAGAGCAGTCAGTCAGCACAACACCTCAACTTATGTTTTCCTGTTGATATTATTCTCCGTTACCTGCTTCAGAATGCGATGATACTGGTGGAAATGTGATGGGCGGTGTATTTTATTTAACGTTGCATCTCCCAGAGTAATAAATTGAGCATAAACTACTGCACCCATGGGTCCTACAGGCCTGGCGCTCCCAGGGTCTATCTCAGGGGTGGTGTACATATCAGGAACCCTCCCAGGTGCCGCGACGCCCCCACGGCGCCACCCAGTGGTGACGGTGCCCCCAAGGGCACCTCGCAACATCAGTGGCATCCTCAGGTGCATTCTTAGGAGCGACGGCTCCCCAGGGACCCTGACTGGAGCAGTGGAGCCTGTAGGGACCTTCCCAGGGGCAGGACAGTCCCCAGGGACCATCCCAGAAACCGTTCCTGGAGCAGTGGTGCACTGGAAACTCTCCCAGGTTCGGTGGCGCCCCCAGGGACCCTCCCAAGGGCGGTGGTGCACCTAGAGTCACTCCCATTGGAAGAGGAGTGCCAAGGGACCATTGCAGGGGCAGCAGAGCCTCCAGGGACCATCCCGGAGATGGCGGCACCTCAAAGGACACTCCCAGGTGCATCCACACCTCCAGAGACCTTTTCAGGGACGTTAGTGCCCCCAGAGACCTTCCTAGGGGTCCCAGGGGACCCTATGGCATGCTTGTTTGTTGTGTCATATTTTCGTACATTACACACTTCCCGAAGTCCCTTACTTAACTATGATTGGTGGACTTTTAACCCGACAAATTACAGGCATTAGGAGAAGAGAGCAGTCAGTCAGCACAACGCCTCAACTTATGTTTTCCTGTTGATATTATTCTCCGTTACCTTCTTCAAAATGCGATGATACTGGTGGAAATGTGACGGGCGGTGTATTTATTTAACGTTGCATCTCCCAGAGTAATAAATTGAGCATAAACTACTGCACCCATAGGTCCTACAGGCCTGGCGCTCCCAGGGACTATCTCAGGGGTGGTGGACATATCAGGAACCCTCCCACGTGCCGCGACGCCCCCAGGGTGTCCCCCAGTGTTGACGGTGCCCCCAGGGGCCCTCGCAACATCAGTGGCATACTCAGGTGCATTCTTAGGAGCAACGGTACCCCAGGGACCCTGACTGGAGCAGCGGAGCCTGCAGGGACCTACCCAGGGGCAGCGCAGCCTCCAGCGACCATCCCAGAAACCGTTCCAGGGGCAGTGGTGCACTGGAAACCCTCCCAGGGTCGGTGGCGCCCCCAGGGACCCTCCCAGGGGCGGTGGTGCATCTGGGGTCCCTCTCATTGGAAGAGGAATGCACAGGGACCATTCCAGTGGCAGCAGAGCCTCCAGGGACCATCCCAGAGACCCTCCCAGAGATGGTGGCACCTCAAAGCACACTCCCAGGGGCATCCACACCCTGAGAGACCTTTCCAGGGACGTTATTGGTCCCAGAGACCTTCCTAGAGGTCCCAGGGGGCTCTATGGCATTACTGTTTGTTGTGTCATATTTTCTTACATTACATACTTCCCGAAGTCCCTTACTTAACTATGATTGGTGGACTTTTAACCCGCCAAATTACAGCCAATAGGAGAAGAGAGCAGTCAGTCAGCACAACACCCCAACTTATGTTTTCCTGTTGATATTATTCTCCGTTACCTTCTTCAGAATGCGATGATACTGGTGGAAATGTGATGGGCGGTGTATTTTATTTAACGTTGCATCTCCCAGAGTAATAAATTGAGCATAAACTACTGCACCCATGGGTCCTACAGGCCTGGCGCTCCCAGGGTCTATCTCAGGGGTGGTGTACATATCAGGAACCCTCCCAGGTGCCGCGACGCCCCCACGGTGCCACCCAGTGGTGACGGTGCCCCCAAGGGCACCTCGCAACATCAGTGGCATCCTCAGGTGCATTCTTAGGAGCGACGGCTACCCCAGGGACCCTGACTGGAGCAGCGGAGCCTGCAGGGACCTACCCAGGGGCAGGCAGCCCCAGGACCATCCCAGAAACCGTTCCAGGGGCAGTGGTGCACTGGAAACCTCCCAGGTTCGGTGGCGCCCCCAGGGACCCTCCCAAGGGCGGTGGTGCACCTAGAGTCACTCCCATTGGAAGAGGAGTGCCAAGGGACCATTGCAGGGGCAGCAGAGCCTCCAGGGACCATCCCGGAGATGGCGGCACCTCAAAGGACACTCCCAGGTGCATCCACACCTCCAGAGACCTTTTCAGGGACGTTAGTGCCCCCAGAGACCTTCCTAGGGGTCCCAGGGGACCCTATGGCATGCTTGTTTGTTGTGTCATATTTTCGTACATTACATACTTCCCGAAGTCCCTTACTTAACTATGATTGGTGGACTTTTAACCCGCCAAATTACAGCCAATAGGAGAAGAGAGCAGTCAGTCAGCACAACACCTCAACTTATGTTTTCCTGTTGATATTATTCTCCGTTACCTGCTTCAGAATGCGATGATACTGGTGGAAATGTGATGGGCGGTGTATTTTATTTAACGTTGCATCTCCCAGAGTAATAAATTGAGCATAAACTACTGCACCCATGGGTCCTACAGGCCTGGCGCTCCCAGGGTCTATCTCAGGGGTGGTGTACATATCAGGAACCCTCCCAGGTGCCGCGACGCCCCCACGGTGCCACCCAGTGGTGACGGTGCCCCCAAGGGCACCTCGCAACATCAGTGGCATCCTCAGGTGCATTCTTAGGAGCGACGGCTCCCCAGGGACCCTGACTGGAGCAGTGGAGCCTGTAGGGACCTTCCCAGGGGCAGGACAGTCCCCAGGGACCATCCCAGAAACCGTTCCTGGAGCAGTGGTGCACTGGAAACTCTCCCAGGTTCGGTGGCGCCCCCAGGGACCCTCCCAAGGGCGGTGGTGCACCTAGAGTCACTCCCATTGGAAGAGGAGTGCCAAGGGACCATTGCAGGGGCAGCAAGGGACCATCCCGGAGATGGCGGCACCTCAAAGGACACTCCCAGGTGCATCCACACCTCCAGAGACCTTTTCAGGGACGTTAGTGCCCCCAGAGTGGTCCCAGGGGACCCATGCTTGTTTGTTGTGTCATAACACTCCCTTACTTAACTATGATTGGTGGACTTTTAACCCGACAAATTACAGGCATTAGGAGAAGAGAGCAGTCAGTCAGCACAACGCCTCAACTTATGTTTTCCTGTTGATATTATTCTCCGTTACCTTCTTCAAAATGTGATGATACTGGTGGAAATGTGACGGGCTTTGTATTTATTTAACGTTGCATCTCCCAGAGTAATAAATTGAGCATAAACTACTGCACCCATAGGTCCTACAAGCCTGGCGCTCCCAGGGACTATCTCAGGGGTGGTGGACATATCAGGAACCCTCCCACGTGCCGCGACGCCCCCAGGGTGTCCCCCAGTGTTGACGGTGCCCCCAGGGGCCCTCGCAACATCAGTGGCATACTCAGGTGCATTCTTAGGAGCAACGGTACCCCAGGGACCCTGACTGGAGCAGCGGAGCCTGCAGGGACCTACCCAGGGGCAGCGCAGCCTCCAGCGACCATCCCAGAAACCGTTCCAGGGGCAGTGGTGCACTGGAAACCCTCCCAGGGTCGGTGGCGCCCCCAGGGACCCTCCCAGGGGCGGTGGTGCATCTGGAGTCCCTCTCATTGGAAGAGGAATGCACAGGGACCATTCCAGTGGCAGCAGAGCCTCCAGGGACCATCCCAGAGACCCTCCCAGAGATGGTGGCACCTCAAAGCACACTCCCAGGGGCATACACACCGAGAGACCTTTCCAGGGACGTTATTGGTCCCAGAGACCTTCCTAGAGGTCCCAGGGGGCTCTATGGCATTACTGTTTGTTGTGTCATATTTTCTTACATTACATACTTCCCGAAGTCCCTTACTTAACTATGATTGGTGGACTTTTAACCCGCCAAATTACAGCCAACAGGAGGAGAGAGCAGTCGGTCAGCACAACACCCCAACTTATGTTTTCCTGTTGATATTATTCGCCGTTACCTTCTTCAAAATGCGATGATACTGGTGGAAATGTGATGGGCGGTGTATTTTATTTAACGTTGCATCTCCCAGAGAAATAAATTGAGCATAAACTACTAAACCCATGGGTCCTAAAAACCTTGGGCTCCCAGAGGACATCTCAGGGGTTGTGGACATATTAGGAACCCTCCCAGGTGCCGCGACGCCCCTAGGGTGCCCCCCAGTGGTGACGGTACCCCCAGGGGCTCTTGCAACACCAGTGGCATCCTCAGGTGCATCCTCAAGAGCGACGGCACCCCTGGGACCCTGACTGGAGCAGCAGAGCCTGCAGGGACCTACCCAGGGGCAGCGCAGCCCCCAGAGACCATCCCACAGACCGTTTCAGGGGTCAGTAGCTCACCGAGAACCCTCCCAGGGTCGGAGGTGCACCTGGGGTCCCTTTCATTAGAAGAGGAATGCACAGGGACCATTCCAGTGGCAGCAGAGCCTCCAGGGACCATCCCAGAGCCCCTCCCAGGGACGGCGGCACCTCAAAAGACACTCCCAGGGGCATCCACACCCTCAGAGACCTTTCCAGGGACGTTAGTGCCCCCAGAGACCTTCCTAGGGGTTCCAGGGGGCCCTATGGCATGCTTGTTTGTTGTGTCATATTTTTGTACATTACATACTTCCCGAATTCCCTTACTTAACTATGATTGGTGGACTTTTAACCCGCCAAATTACAGCCAATAGGAGAAGAGAGCAGTCAGTCAGCACAACACCTCAACTTATGTTTTCCTGTTGATATTATTCTCCGTACCTGCTTCAGAATGCGATGATACTGGTGGAAATGTGACGGGCGGTGTATTTATTTAACGTTGCATCTCCCAGAGAAATAAATTGAGCATAAACTACTACACCCATGGGTCCTAAAAACCTTGGGTTCCCAGAGGACATCTCAGGGGTTGTGGACATATCAGGAACCCTCCCAGGTGCCGCGACGCCCCTAGGATGCCCCCCAGTGGTGACGGTACCCCCAAGGGCCCTTGCAACATCAGTGGCATCCTCAGGTGCATCCTGTGGAGCGACGGCACCCCTGGGACCCTGACTGGAGCAGCGGAGCCTGCAGTTACCTACCCAGGGGCAGCGCAGCCCCCAGGGACCATCCCACAGACCGTTTCAGGGGGAGTAGCTCACCAAGAACCCTCCCAGGGTCGGTGGCGCCCCCAGGGGTCCCTCCCAGGGTCGGTGGTGCACCTGGGGTCCCTTTCATTAGAAGAGGAATGCACAGGGACCATTCCAGTGGCAGCAGAGCCTCCAGGGACCATCCCAGAGCCCCTCCCAGGGACGGCGGCACCTCAAAGGACACTCCCAGGGGCATCCACACCCTCAGAGACCCTTCCAGGGACGTTAGTGCCCCCAGAGACCTTCCTAGGGGTTTCAGGGGGCCCTATGGCATGCTTGTTTGTTGTGTCATATTTTCGTACATTACATTCTTCCCGAAGTCCGTTACTTAACTATGATTGGTGGACTTTTATCCCGCCAAATTACAGCCAATAGGAGAAGAGAGCAGTCAGTCAGCACAACACCTCAACTTATGTTTTCCTGTTGATATTATTCGCCGTTAACTTCTTCAAAATGCGATGATAATGGTGGAAATGTGATGGGCGGTGTATTTTATTTAACGTTGCATCTCCCAGAGTAATAAATTGAGCATAAACTACTGCACCCATGGGTCCTACAGGCCTGGCGCTCCCAGGGTCTATCTCAGGGGTGGTGTACATATTAGGAACCCTCCCAGGTGCCGCGACGCCCCCACGGCGCCACCCAGTGGTGACGGTGCCCCCAAGGGCACCTCGCAACATCAGTGGCATCCTCAGGTGCATTCTTAGGAGCGACGGCTCCCCAGGGACCCTGACTGGAGCAGCGGAGCCTGCAGGGACCTACCCAGGGGCAGCGCAGCCTCCAGCGACCATCCCAGAAACCGTTCCAGGGGCAGTGGTGCACTGGAAACCCTCCCAGGGTCGGTGGCGCCCCCAGGGACCCTCCCAGGGGCGGTGGTGCATCTGGGGTCCCTCTCATTGGAAGAGGAATGCACAGGGACCATTTCAGTGGCAGCAGAGCCTCCAGGGACCATCCCAGAGACCCTCCCAGAGATGGTGGCACCTCAAAGCACACTCCCAGGGGCATCCACACCCCGAGAGACCTTTCCAGGGACGTTATTGGTCCCAGAGACCTTCCTAGAGGTCCCAGGGGGCTCTATGCCATTACTGTTTGTTGTGTCATATTTTCTTACATTACATACTTCCCGAAGTCCCTTACTTAACTATGATTGGTGGACTTTTAACCCGCCAAATTACAGCCAACAGGAGGAGAGAGCAGTCGGTCAGCACAACACCCCAACTTATGTTTTCCTGTTGATATTATTCGCCGTTACCTTCTTCAAAATGCGATGATACTGGTGGAAATGTGATGGGCGGTGTATATCTTTAACGTTGCATCTCCCAGAGAAATAAATTGAGCATAAACTACTAAACCCATGGGTCCTAAAAACCTTGGGCTCCCAGAGGACATCTCAGGGGTTGTGGACATATCAGGAACCCTCCCAGGTGCCGCGACGCCCCTAGGGTGCCCCCCAGTGGTGACGGTACCCCCAGGGGCCCTTGCAACATCAGTGGCATCCTCAGGTGCATCCTCAAGAGCGACGGCACCCCTGGGACCCTGACTGGAGCAGCGGAGCCTGCAGGGACCTACCCAGGGGCAGCGCAGCCCCCCAGAGACCATCCCACAGACCGTTTCAGGGGTCAGTAGCTCACCGAGAACCCTCCCAGGGTCGGTGGCGCCCCCAGGGGTCCCTCCCAGGGTCGGTGGTGCACCTGGGGTCCCTTTCATTAGAAGAGGAATGCACAGGGACCATTCCAGTGGCAGCAGAGCCTCCAGGGACCATCCCAGAGCCCCTCCCAGGGACGGCGGCACCTCAAAGGACACTCCCAGGGGCATCCACACCCTCAGAGACCTCTCCAGGGACGTTAGTGCCCCCAGAGACCTTCCTAGGGGTCCCAGGGGGCCCTATGGCATTACTGTTTGTTGTGTCATATTTTCGTACATTACACACTTCCCGAAGTCCCTTACTTAACTATGATTGGTGGACTTTTATCCCGCCAAATTACAGCCAATAGGAGAAGAGAGCAGTCAGTCAGCACAACACCCCAACTTATGTTTTCCTGTTGATATTATTCTCCGTTACCTGCTTCAGAATGCGATGATACTGGTGGAAATGTGATGGGCGGTGTATTTTATTTAACGTTGCATCTCCCAGAGTAATAAATTGAGCATAAACTACTGCACCCATGGGTCCTACAGGCCTGGCGCTCCCAGGGTCTATCTCAGGGGTGGTGTACATATCAGGAACCCTCCCAGGTGCCGCGACGCCCCCACGGCGCCACCCAGTGGTGACGGTGCCCCCAAGGGCACCTCGCAACATCAGTGGCATCCTCAGGTGCATTCTTAGGAGCGACGGCTCCCCAGGGACCCTGACTGGAGCAGTGGAGCCTGTAGGGACCTTCCCAGGGGCAGGACAGTCCCCAGGGACCATCCCAGAAACCGTTCCTGGAGCAGTGGTGCACTGGAAACTCTCCCAGGTTCGGTGGCGCCCCCAGGGACCCTCCCAAGGGCGGTGGTGCACCTAGAGTCACTCCCATTGGAAGAGGAGTGCCAAGGGACCATTGCAGGGGCAGCAGAGCCTCCAGGGACCATCCCGGAGATGGCGGCACCTCAAAGGACACTCCCAGGTGCATCCACACCTCCAGAGACCTTTTCAGGGACGTTAGTGCCCCCAGAGACCTTCCTAGGGGTCCCAGGGGACCCTATGGCATGCTTGTTTGTTGTGTCATATTTTCGTACATTACATACTTCCCGAAGTCCCTTACTTAACTATGATTGGTGGACTTTTAACCCGCCAAATTACAGCCAATAGGAGAAGAGAGCAGTCAGTCAGCACAACACCTCAACTTATGTTTTCCTGTTGATATTATTCTCCGTTACCTGCTTCAGAATGCGATGATACTGGTGGAAATGTGATGGGCGGTGTATTTTATTTAACGTTGCATCTCCCAGAGTAATAAATTGAGCATAAACTACTGCACCCATGGGTCCTACAGGCCTGGCGCTCCCAGGGTCTATCTCAGGGGTGGTGTACATATCAGGAACCCTCCCAGGTGCCGCGACGCCCCCACGGCGCCACCCAGTGGTGACGGTGCCCCCAAGGGCACCTCGCAACATCAGTGGCATCCTCAGGTGCATTCTTAGGAGCGACGGCTCCCCAGGGACCCTGACTGGAGCAGCGGAGCCTGCAGGGACCTACCCAGGGGCAGCGCAGCCTCCAGCGACCATCCCAGAAACCGTTCCAGGGGCAGTGGTGCACTGGAAACCCTCCCAGGGTCGGTGGCGCCCCCAGGGACCCTCCCAGGGGCGGTGGTGCATCTGGGGTCCCTCTCATTGGAAGAGGAATGCACAGGGACCATTCCAGTGGCAGCAGAGCCTCCAGGGACCATCCCAGAGACCCTCCCAGAGATGGTGGCACCTCAAAGCTCACTCCCAGGGGCATCCACACCCCGAGAGACCTTTCCAGGGACGTTATTGGTCCCAGAGACCTTCCTAGAGGTCTCAGGGGGCTCTATGGCATTACTGTTTGTTGTGTCATATTTTCTTACAGTACATACTTCCCGAAGTCCCTTACTTAACTATGATTGGTGGACTTTTAACCCGCCAAATTACAGCCAACAGGAGGAGAGAGCAGTCGGTCAGCACAACACCCCAACTTATGTTTTCCTGTTGATATTATTCGCCGTTACCTTCTTCAAAATGCGATGATACTGGTGGAAATGTGATGGGCGGTGTATTTATTTTACGTTGCATCTCCCAGAGAAATAAATTGAGCATAAACTACTAAACCCATGGGTCCTAAAAACCTTGGGCTCCCAGAGGACATCTCAGGGGTTGTGGACATATCAGGAACCCTCCCAGGTGCCGCGACGCCCCTAGGGTGCCCCCCAGTGGTGACGGTACCCCCAGGGGCCCTTGCAACAACAGTGGCATCCTCAGGTGCATCCTCAAGAGCGACGGCACCCCTGGGACCCTGACTGGAGCAGCGGAGCCTGCAGGGACCTACCCAGGGGCAGCGCAGCCCCCAGAGACCATCCCACAGACCGTTTCAGGGGTCAGTAGCTCACCGAGAACCCTCCCAGGGTCGGTGGCGCCCCCAGGGGTCCCTCCCAGGGTCGGTGGTGCACCTGGGGTCCCTTTCATTAGAAGAGGAATGCACAGGGACCATTCCAGTGGCAGCAGAGCCTCCAGGGACCATCCCAGAGCCCCTCCCAGGGACGGCGGCACCTCAAAGGACACTCCCAGGGGCATCCACACCCTCAGAGACCTTTCCAGGGACGTTAGTGCCCCCAGAGACCTTCCTAGGGGTTCCAGGGGGCCCTATGGCATGCTTGTTTGTTGTGTCATATTTTCGTACATTACACACTTCCCGAAGTCCCTTACTTAACTATGATTGGTGGACTTTTATCCCGCCAAATTACAGCCAATAGGAGAAGACAGCAGTCAGTCAGCACAACACCTCAACTTATGTTTTCCTGTTGATATTATTCTCCGTTACCTGCTTCAGAATGCGATGATACTGGTGGAAATGTGATGGGTCCTACAGGCCTTGCGCTCCCAGGGTCTATCTCAGGGGTGGTGTACATATCAGGAACCCTCCCAGGTGCCGCGATGCCCCCACGGCGCCACCCAGTGGTGACGGTGCCCCCAAGGGCACCTCGCAACATCAGTGGCATCCTCAGGTGCATTCTTAGGAGCGACGGCTCCCCAGGGACCCTGACTGGAGCAGTGGAGCCTGTAAGGACCTTCCCAGGGGCAGGACAGTCCCCAAGGACCATCCCAGAAACCGTTCCTGGAGCAGTGGTGCACTGGAAACTCTCCCAGGTTCGGTGGCGCCCCCAGGGACCCTCCCAAGGGCGGTGGTGCACCTAGAGTCACTCCAATTGGAAGAGGAGTGCCAAGGGACCATTGCAGGGGCAGCAGAGCCTCCAGGGACCATCCCGGAGATGGTGGCACCTCAAAGGACACTCCCAGGTGCATCCACACCTCCAGAGACCTTTTCAGGGACGTTAGTGCCCCCAGAGACCTTCCTAGGGGTCCCAGGGGACCCTATGGCATGCTTGTTTGTTGTGTCATATTTTCGTACATTACACACTTCCCGAAGTCCCTTACTTAACTATGATTGGTGGACTTTTAACCCGACAAATTACAGGCATTAGGAGAAGAGAGCAGTCAGTCAGCACAACGCCTCAACTTATGTTTACCTGTTGATATTATTCTCCGTTACCTTCTTCAAAATGCGATGATACTGGTGGAAATGTGACGGGCGGTGTATTTATTTAACGTTGCATCTCCCAGAGTAATAAATTGAGCATAAACTACTGCACCCATAGGTCCTACAGGCCTGGCGCTCCCAGGGACTATCTCAGGGGTGGTGGACATATCAGGAACCCTCCCAGGTGCCACGACGCCCCCAGGGTGCCCCCCAGTGTTGACGGTGCCCCCAGGGGCCCTCGCAACATCAGTGGCATACTCAGGTGCATTCTTAGGAGCGACGGTACCCCAGGGACCCTGACTGGAGCAGCGGAGCCTGCAGGGACCTACCCAGGGGCAGCGCAGCCTCCAGCGACCATCCCAGAAACCGTTCCAGGGGCAGTGGTAAACTGGAAACCCTCCCAGGGTCGGTGGCGCCCCCAGGGACCCTCCCAGGGGCGGTGGTGCATCTGGGGTCCCTCTCATTGGAAGAGGAATGCACAGGGACCATTCCAGTGGCAGCAGAGCCTCCAGAGACCATCCCAGAGACCCTCCCAGAGATGGTGGCACCTCAAAGCACACTCCCAGGGGCATCCACACCCCGAGAGACCTTTCCAGGGACGTTATTGGTCCCAGAGACCTTCCTAGAGGTCCCAGGGGGCTCTATGCCATTACTGTTTGTTGTGTCATATTTTCTTACATTACATACTTCCCGAAGTCCCTTACTTAACTATGATTGGTGGACTTTTAACCCGCCAAATTACAGCCAATAGGAGAAGAGAGCAGTCAGTCAGCACAACACCCCAACTTATGTTTTCCTGTTGATATTATTCTCCGTTACCTGCTTCAGAATGCGATGATACTGGTGGAAATGTGATGGGCGGTGTACTTTATTTAACGTTGCATCTCCCAGAGTAATAAATTGAGCATAAACTACTGCACCCATGGGTCCTACAGGCCTGGCGCTCCCAGGGTCTATCTCAGGGGTGGTGTACATATCAGGAACCCTCCCAGGTGCCGCGACGCCCCCACGGCGCCACCCAGTGGTGACGGTGCCCCCAAGGGCACCTCGCAACATCAGTGGCATCCTCAGGTGCATTCTTAGGAGCGACGGCTCCCCAGGGACCCTGACTGGAGCAGTGGAGCCTGTAGGGACCTTCCCAGGGGCAGGACAGTCCCCAGGGACCATCCCAGAAACCGTTCCTGGAGCAGTGGTGCACTGGAAACTCTCCCAGGTTCGGTGGCGCCCCCAGGGACCCTCCCAAGGGCGGTGGTGCACCTAGAGTCACTCCCATTGGAAGAGGAGTGCCAAGGGACCATTGCAGGGGCAGCAGAGCCTCCAGGGACCATCCCGGAGATGGCGACACCTCAAAGGACACTCCCAGGTGCATCCACACCTCCAGAGACCTTTTCAGGGACGTTAGTGCCCCCAGAGACCTTCCTAGGGGTCCCAGGGGACCCTATGGCATGCTTGTTTGTTGTGTCATATTTTCGTACATTACATACTTCCCGAAGTCCCTTACTTAACTATGATTGGTGAACTTTTATCCCGCCAAATTACAGCCAATAGGAGAAGAGAGCAGTCAGTCAGCACAACACCTCAACTTATGTTTTCCTGTTGATATTATTCTCCGTTACCTGCTTCAGAATGCGATGATACTGGTGGAAATGTGATGGGCGGTGTATTTTATTTAACGTTGCATCTCCCAGAGTAATAAATTGAGCATAAACTACTGCACCCATGGGTCCTACAGGCCTGGCGCTCCCAGGGTCTATCTCAGGGGTGGTGTACATATCAGGAACCCTCCCAGGTGCCGCGACGCCCCCACGGCGCCACCCAGTGGTGACGGTGCCCCCAAGGGCACCTCGCAACATCAGTGGCATCCTCAGGTGCATTCTTAGGAGCGACGGCTCCCCAGGGACCCTGACTGGAGCAGTGGAGCCTGTAGGGACCTTCCCAGGGGCAGGACAGTCCCCAGGGACCATCCCAGAAACCGTTCCTGGAGCAGTGGTGCACTGGAAACCCTCCCAGGGTCGGTGGCGCCCCCAGGGACCCTCCCAGGGCGGTGGTGCATCTGGGGTCCCTCTCATTGGAAGAGGAATGCACAGGACCATTCCAGTGGCAGCAGAGCCTCCAGGGACCATCCCAGAGACCCTCCCAGAGACGGCAGCACCTCAAAGCACACTCCCAGGGGCATCCACACCCCGAGAGACCTTTCCAGGGACGTTATTGGTCCCAGGGGGCTCTATGGCATTACTGTTTGTTGTGTCATATTTTCTTACATTACATACTTCCCGAAGTCCCTTACTTAACTATGATTGGTGGACTTTTAACCCGCCAAATTACAGCCAACAGGAGGAGAGAGCAGTCGGTCAGCACAACACCCCAACTTATGTTTTCCTGTTGATATTATTCGCCGTTACCTTCTTCAAAATGCGATGATACTGGTGGAAATGTGATGGGCGGTGTATTTATTTAACGTTGCATCTGCCAGAGAAATAAATTGAGCATAAACTACTAAACCCATGGGTCCTAAAAACCTTGGGCTCCCAGAGGACATCTCAGGGGTTGTGGACATATCAGGAACCCTCCCAGGTGCCGCGACGCCCCTAGGGTGCCCCCCAGTGGTGACGGTACCCCCAGGGGCCCTTGCAACATCAGTGGCATCCTCAGGTGCATCCTCAAGAGCGACGGCACCCCTGGGACCCTGACTGGAGCAGCGGAGCCTGCAGGGACCTACCCAGGGGCAGCGCAGCCCCCAGAGACCATCCCACAGACCGTTTCAGGGGTCAGTAGCTCACCGAGAACCCTCCCAGGGTCGGTGGCGCCCCCAGGGGTCCCTCCCAGGGTCGGTGGTGCACCTGGGGTCCCTTTCATTAGAAGAGGAATGCACAGGGACCATTCCAGTGGCAGCAGAGCCTCCAGGGACCATCCCAGAGCCCCTCCCAGGGACGGCGGCACCTCAAAGGACACTCCCAGGGGCATCCACACCCTCAGAGACCTTTCCAGGGACGTTAGTGCCCCCAGAGACCTTCCTAGGGGTTCCAGGGGGCCCTATGGCATGCTTGTTTGTTGTGTCATATTTTCGTACATTACATACTTCCCGAAGTCCCTTACTTAACTATGATTGGTGGACTTTTATCCCGCCAAATTACAGCCAATAGGAGAAGAGAGCAGTCAGTCAGCACAACACCTCAACTTATGTTTTCCTGTTGATATTATTCTCCGTTACCTGCTTCAGAATGCGATGATACTGGTGGAAATGTGATGGGCGGTGTATTTTATTTAACGTTGCATCTCCCAGAGTAATAAATTGAGCATAAACTACTGCACCCATGGGTCCTACAGGCCTGGCGCTCCCAGGGTCTATCTCAGGGGTGGTGTACATATCAGGAACCCTCCCAGGTGCCGCGACGCCCCCACGGTGCCACCCAGTGGTGACGGTGCCCCCAAGGGCACCTCGCAACATCAGTGGCAACCTCAGGTGCATTCTTAGGAGAGACGGCTCCCCAGGGACCCTGACTGGAGCAGTGGAGCCTGTAGGGACCTTCCCAGGGGCAGGACAGTCCCCAGGGACCATCCCAGAAACCGTTCCTGGAGCAGTGGTGCACTGGAAACTCTCCCATGTTCGGTGGCGCCCCCAGGGACCCTTCCAGGGGCGGTGGTGCGCCTGGGGTCCCTCTCATTGGAAGAGGAGTGCCAAGGGACCATTGCAGGGGCAGCAGAGCCTCCAGGGACCATCCCGGAGATGGCGGCACCTCAAAGGACACTCCCAGGTGCATCCACACCTCCAGAGACCTTTTCAGGGACGTTAGTGCCCCCAGAGACCTTCCTAGGGGTCCCAGGGGACCCTATGGCATGCTTGTTTGTTGTGTCATATTTTCGTACATTACACACTTCCCGAAGTCCCTTACTTAACTATGATTGGTGGACTTTTAACCCGACAAATTACAGGCATTAGGAGAAGAGAGCAGTCAGTCAGCACAACGCCTCAACTTATGTTTTCCTGTTGATATTATTCTCCGTTACCTTCTTCAAAATGTGATGATACTGGTGGAAATGTGACGGGCTTTGTATTTATTTAACGTTGCATCTCCCAGAGTAATAAATTGAGCATAAACTACTGCACCCATAGGTCCTACAGGCCTGGCGCTCCCAGGGACTATCTCAGGGGTGGTGGACATATCAGGAACCCTCCCACGTGCCGCGACGCCCCCAGGGTGTCCCCCAGTGTTGACGGTGCCCCCAGGGGCCCTCGCAACATCAGTGGCATACTCAGGTGCATTCTTAGGAGCAACGGTACCCCAGGGACCCTGACTGGAGCAGCGGAGCCTGCAGGGACCTACCCAGGGGCAGCGCAGCCTCCAGCGACCATCCCAGAAACCGTTCCAGGGGCAGTGGTGCACTGGAAACCCTCCCAGGGTCGGTGGCGCCCCCAGGGACCATCCCAGGGGCGGTGGTGCATCTGGGGTCCCTCTCATTGGAAGAGGAATGCACAGGGACCATTCCAGTGGCAGCAGAGCCTCCAGGGACCATCCCAGAGACCCTCCCAGAGATGGTGGCACCTCAAAGCACACTCCCAGGGGCATCCACACCCCGAGAGACCTTTCCAGGGACGTTATTGGTCCCAGGGGGCTCTATGGCATTACTGTTTGTTGTGTCATATTTTCTTACATTACATACTTGCCGAAGTCCCTTACTTAACTATGATTGGTGGACTTTTAACCCGCCAAATTACAGCCAACAGGAGGAGAGAGCAGTCGGTCAGCACAACACCCCAACTTATGTTTTCCTGTTGATATTATTCGCCGTTACTTTCTTCAAAATGCGATGATACTGGTGGAACTGTGATGGGCGGTGTATTTCTTTAACGTTGCATCTCCCAGAGAAATAAATTGAGCATAAACTACTAAACCCATGGGTCCTAAAAACCTTGGGCTCCCAGAGGACATCTCAGGGGTTGTGGACATATCAGGAACCCTCCCAGGTGCCGCGACGCCCCTAGGGTGCCCCCCAGTGGTGACGGTACCCCCAGGGGCCCTTGCAACATCAGTGGCATCCTCAGGTGCATCCTCAAGAGCGACAGCACCCCTGGGACCCTGACTGGAGCAGCGGAGCCTGCAGGGACCTACCCAGGGGCAGCGCAGCCCCCAGAGACCATCCCACAGACCGTTTCAGGGGTCAGTAGCTCACCGAGAACCCTTCCAGGGTCGGTGGCGCCCCCAGGGGTCCCTCCCAGGGTCGGTGGTGCACCTGGGGTCCCTTTCATTAGAAGAGGAATGCACAGGGACCATTCCAGTGGCAGCAGAGCCTCCAGGGACCATCCCAAAGCCCCTCCCAGGGACGGCGGCACCTCAAAGGACACTCCCAGTGGCATCCACACCCTCAGAGACCTTTCCAGGGACGTTAGTGCCCCCAGAGACCTTCCTAGGGGTTCCAGGGGGCCCTATGGCATGCTTGTTTGTTGTGTCATATTTTCGTACATTACATACTTCCCGAAGTCCCTTACTTAACTATGATTGGTGGACTTTTATCCCGCCAAATTACAGCCAATAGGAGAAGAGAGCAGCCGTCAGCACAACACCCCAACTTATGTTTTCTGTTGATATTATTCGCCGTTTACCTGCTTCAGAATGCGACATGATACTGGTGTGGAAATGTGATGGGTGTATTTTATTTAACGTTGCATCTCCCAGAGTAATAAATTGAGCATAAACTACTGCACCCATGGGTCCTACAGGCCTGGCGCTCCCAGGGTCTATCTCAGGGGTGGTGTACATATTAGGAACCCTCCCAGGTGCCGCGACGCCCCCACGGCGCCACCCAGTGGTGACGGTGCCCCCAAGGGCACCTCGCAACATCAGTGGCATCCTCAGGTGCATTCTTAGGAGCGACGGCTCCCCAGGGACCCTGACTGGAGCAGTGGAGCCTGTAGGGACCTTCCCAGGGGCAGGACAGTCCCCAGGGACCATCCCAGAAACCGTTCCTGGAGCAGTGGTGCACTGGAAACTCTCCCATGTTCGGTGGCGCCCCCAGGGACCCTCCCAAGGGCGGTGGTGCACCTAGAGTCACTCCCATTGGAAGAGGAGTGCCAAGGGACCATTGCAGGGGCAGCAGAGCCTCCAGGGACCATCCCGGAGATGGCGGCACCTCAAAGGACACTCCCAGGTGCATCCACACCTCCAGAGACCTTTTCAGGGACGTTAGTGCCCCCAGAGACCTTCCTAGGGGTCCCAGGGGACCCTATGGCATGCTTGTTTGTTGTGTCATATTTTCGTACATTACATACTTCCCGAAGTCCCTTACTTAACTATGATTGGTGGACTTTTAACCCGCCAAATTACAGCCAATAGGAGAAGAGAGCAGTCAGTCAGCACAACACCTCAACTTATGTTTTCCTGTTGATATTATTCTCCGTTACCTGCTTCAGAATGCGATGATACTGGTGGAAATGTGATGGGCGGTGTATTTTATTTAACGTTGCATCTCCCAGAGTAATAAATTGAGCATAAACTACTGCACCCATGGGTCCTACAGGCCTGGCGCTCCCAGGGTCTATCTCAGGGGTGGTGTACATATGAGGAACCCTCCCAGGTGCCGCGACGCCCCCACGGCGCCACCCAGTGGTGACGGTGCCCCCAAGGGCACCTCGCAACATCAGTGGCATCCTCAGGTGCATTCTTAGGAGCGACGGCTCCCCAGGGACCCTGACTGGAGCAGCGGAGCCTGCAGGGACCTACCCAGGGGCAGCGCAGCCTCCAGCGACCATCCCAGAAACCGTTCCAGGGGCAGTGGTGCACTGGAAACCCTCCCAGGGTCGGTGGCGCCCCCAGGGACCCTCCCAGGGGCGGTGGTGCATCTGGGGTCCCTCTCATTGGAAGAGGAATGCACAGGGACCATTCCAGTGGCAGCAGAGCCTCCAGGGACCATCCCAGAGACCCTCCCAGAGATGGTGGCACCTCAAAGCTCACTCCCAGGGGCATCCACACCCCGAGAGACCTTTCCAGGGACGTTATTGGTCCCAGAGACCTTCCTAGAGGTCTCAGGGGGCTCTATGGCATTACTGTTTGTTGTGTCATATTTTCTTACAGTACATACTTCCCGAAGTCCCTTACTTAACTATGATTGGTGGACTTTTAACCCGCCAAATTACAGCCAACAGGAGGAGAGAGCAGTCGGTCAGCACAACACCCCAACTTATGTTTTCCTGTTGATATTATTCGCCGTTACCTTCTTCAAAATGCGATGATACTGGTGGAAATGTGATGGGCGGTGTATTTATTTTACGTTGCATCTCCCAGAGAAATAAATTGAGCATAAACTACTAAACCCATGGGTCCTAAAAACCTTGGGCTCCCAGAGGACATCTCAGGGGTTGTGGACATATCAGGAACCCTCCCAGGTGCCGCGACGCCCCTAGGGTGCCCCCCAGTGGTGACGGTACCCCCAGGGGCCCTTGCAACAACAGTGGCATCCTCAGGTGCATCCTCAAGAGCGACGGCACCCCTGGGACCCTGACTGGAGCAGCGGAGCCTGCAGGGACCTACCCAGGGGCAGCGCAGCCCCCAGAGACCATCCCACAGACCGTTTCAGGGGTCAGTAGCTCACCGAGAACCCTCCCAGGGTCGGTGGCGCCCCCAGGGGTCCCTCCCAGGGTCGGTGGTGCACCTCGGGTCCCTTTCATTAGAAGAGGAATGCACAGGGACCATTCCAGTGGCAGCAGAGCCTCCAGGGACCATCCCAGAGCCCCTCCCAGGGACGGCGGCACCTCAAAGGACACTCCCAGGGGCATCCACACCCTCAGAGACCTTTCCAGGGACGTTAGTGCCCCCAGAGACCTTCCTAGGGGTTCCAGGGGGCCCTATGGCATGCTTGTTTGTTGTGTCATATTTTCGTACATTACACACTTCCCGAAGTCCCTTACTTAACTATGATTGGTGGACTTTTATCCCGCCAAATTACAGCCAATAGGAGAAGACAGCAGTCAGTCAGCACAACACCTCAACTTATGTTTTCCTGTTGATATTATTCTCCGTTACCTGCTTCAGAATGCGATGATACTGGTGTAAATGTGATGGGTCCTACAGGCCTGGCGCTCCCAGGGTCTATCTCAGGGGTGGTGTACATATCAGGAACCCTCCCAGGTGCCGCGATGCCCCCACGGCGCCACCCAGTGGTGACGGTGCCCCCAAGGGCACCTCGCAACATCAGTGGCATCCTCAGGTGCATTCTTAGGAGCGACGGCTCCCCAGGGACCCTGACTGGAGCAGTGGAGCCTGTAAGGACCTTCCCAGGGGCAGGACAGTCCCCAAGGACCATCCCAGAAACCGTTCCTGGAGCGGTGGTGCACTGGAAACTCTCCCAGGTTCGGTGGCGCCCCCAGGGACCCTCCCAAGGGCGGTGGTGCACCTAGAGTCACTCCAATTGGAAGAGGAGTGCCAAGGGACCATTGCAGGGGCAGCAGAGCCTCCAGGGACCATCCCGGAGATGGTGGCACCTCAAAGGACACTCCCAGGTGCATCCACACCTCCAGAGACCTTTTCAGGGACGTTAGTGCCCCCAGAGACCTTCCTAGGGGTCCCAGGGGACCCTATGGCATGCTTGTTTGTTGTGTCATATTTTCGTACATTACACACTTCCCGAAGTCCCTTACTTAACTATGATTGGTGGACTTTTAACCCGCCAAATTTCAGCCAACAGGAGGAGAGAGCAGTCGGTCAGCACAACACCCCAACTTATGTTTTCCTGTTGATATTATTCGCCGTTACCTTCTTCAAAATGCGATGATACTGGTGGAAATGTGATGGGCGGTGTATTTATTTAACGCTGCATCTCCCAGAGTAATAAGTTGAGCATAAACTACTGCACCCATAGGTCCTACAGGCCTGGCGCTCCCAGCGTCTATCTCAGGGGTGGTGGACATATCAGGAACCCTCCCAGGTGCCGCGACGCCCCCAGGATGCCCCCCAGTGTTGACGGTGCCCCTAGGGGCCCTCGCAACATCAGTGGCATACTCAGGTGCATTCTTAGGAGCGACGGTACCCCAGGGACCCTGACTGGAGCAGCGGAGCCTGCAGGGACCTACCCAGGGGCAGCGCAGCCTCCAGCGACCATCCCAGAAACCGTTCCAGGGGCAGTGTGTACTGGAAACCCTCCCAGGGTCGGTGGCGCCCCCAGGGACCCTCCCAGGGGCGGTGGTGCATCTGGGGTCCCTCTCATTGGAAGAGGAATGCACAGGGACCATTCCAGTGGCAGCAGAGCCTCCGGGGACCATCCCAGAGAACCTCCCAGACGCGGTGGAACCTCAAAGGACACTCCCAGGGGCATCCACACCCCAAGAGACCCTTCTAGGGACGTTATTGGTCCCAGAGACCTTCCTAGAGGTCCCAGGGGGCTCTATGCCATTACTGTTTGTTGTGTCATATTTTCTTAACATTACATACTTCCCGAAGTCCCTTACTTAACTATGATTGGTGGACTTTTAACCCGCCAAATTACAGCCAATAGGAGAAGAGAGCAGTCAGTCAGCACAACACCCCAACTTATGTTTTCCTGTTGATATTATTCTCCGTTACCTGCTTCAGAATGCGATGATACTGGTGGAAATGTGATGGGCGGTGTATTTATTTAACGTTGCATCTCCCAGAGTAATAAATTGAGCATAAACTACTGCACCCATGGGTCCTACAGGCCTGGCGCTCCCAGGGTCTATCTCAGGGGTGGTGTACATATCAGGAACCCTCCCAGGTGCCGCGACGCCCCCACGGCGCCACCCAGTGGTGAGGTGCCCCCAAGGGCACCTCGCAACATCAGTGGCATCCTCAGGTGCATTCTTAGGAGCGACGGCTCCCCAGGGACCCTGACTGGAGCAGTGGAGCCTGTAGGGACCTTCCCAGGGGCAGGACAGTCCCCAGGGACCATCCCAGAAACCGTTCCTGGAGCAGTGGTGCACTGGAAACTCTCCCAGGTTCGGTGGCGCCCCCAGGGACCCTCCCAAGGGCGGTGGTGCACCTAGAGTCACTCCCATTGGAAGAGGAGTGCCAAGGGACCATTGCAGGGGCAGCAGAGCCTCCAGGGACCATCCCGGAGATGGCGGCACCTCAAAGGACACTCCCAGGTGCATCCACACCTCCAGAGACCTTTTCAGGGACGTTAGTGCCCCCAGAGACCTTCCTAGGGGTCCCAGGGGACCCTATGGCATGCTTGTTTGTTGTGTCATATTTTCGTACATTACACACTTCCCGAAGTCCCTTACTTAACTATGATTGGTGGACTTTTAACCCGCCAAATTACAGCCAATAGGAGAAGAGAGCAGTCAGTCAGCACAACACCTCAACTTATGTTTTCCTGTTGATATTATTCTCCGTTACCTGCTTCAGAATGCGATGATACTGGTGGAAATGTGATGGGCGGTGTATTTTATTTAACGTTGCATCTCCCAGAGTAATAAATTGAGCATAAAGCTACTGCACCCATGGGTCCTACAGGCCTGGCGCTCCCAGGGTCTATCTGAGGTGGTGTACATATTAGGAACCCTCCAGGTGTACACCCCAGCGCCACCAGTGGTGACGTTGCCCCAGGCACCTCACGCATCAATTAGCATCCTCAGGCGCATTCTCAGGAGCAATGGGACCCCAGTGACCCTGACTGGAGCAGTGGAGCCTGGGGACTTCCCGGGGCAGGACAGTCCCAGGGACCATCGGCGCCGTTCGCAGACGGTGGTGCTGGCTCTCCCAGGTTCGGGTGGCGCCCCCAGGGACCCTCCCAAGGGCGATTAGTGCACCCTAGGGGTCACTCCATTATGGAAGAGGGTGCCAGGGACCGTGCAGAGGACATAGAGCCTCAGGGACCATCCGGAGATGGCGGCACCTCAGGACACTCCAGGATGCATCCACACCTCCAGAGACACCAGGGACGTTAGTGCCCCCAGAGACCTTCCTAGGGGTCCCAGGGGACCCTATGGCATGCTTGTTTGTTGTGTCATATTTTCGTACATTACATACTTCCCGAAGTCCCTTACTTAACTATGATTGGTGGACTTTTAACCCGCCAAATTACAGCCAATAGGAGAAGAGAGCAGTCAGTCAGCACAACACCTCAACTTATGTTTTCCTGTTGATATTATTCTCCGTTACCTGCTTCAGAATGCGATGATACTGGTGGAAATGTGATGGGCGGTGTATTTTATTTAACGTTGCATCTCCCAGAGTAATAAATTGAGCATAAACTACTGCACCCATGGGTCCTACAGGCCTGGCGCTCCCAGGGTCTATCTCAGGGGTGGTGTACATATCAGGAACCCTCCCAGGTGCCGCGACGCCCCCACGGCGCCACCCAGTGGTGACGGTGCCCCCAAGGGCACCTCGCAACATCAGTGGCATCCTCAGGTGCATTCTTAGGAGCGACGGCTCCCCAGGGACCCTGACTGGAGCAGCGGAGCCTGCAGGGACCTACCCAGGGGCAGCGCAGCCTCCAGCGACCATCCCAGAAACCGTTCCAGGGGCAGTGGTGCACTGGAAACCCTCCCATGGTCGGTGGCGCCCCCAGGGACCCTCCCAGGGGCGGTGGTGCATCTGGGGTCCCTCTCATTGGAAGAGGAATGCACAGGGACCATTCCAGTGGCAGCAGAGCCTCCAGGGACCATCCCAGAGACCCTCCCAGAGATGGTGGCACCTCAAAGCACACTCCCAGGGGCATCCACACCCTGAGAGACCTTTCCAGGGACGTTATTGGTCCCAGAGACCTTCCTAGAGGTCCCAGGGGGCTCTATGCCATTACTGTTTGTTGTGTCATATTTTCTTACATTACATACTTCCCGAAGTCCCTTACTTAACTATGATTGGTGGACTTTTAACCCGCCAAATTACAGCCAACAGGAGGAGAGAGCAGTCGGTCAGCACAACACCCCAACTTATGTTTTCCTGTTGATATTATTCTACGTTACCTTCTTCAAAATGCGATGATACTGGTGGAAATGTGATGGGCGGTGTATTTCTTTAACGTTGCATCTCCCAGAGAAATAAATTGAGCATAAACTACTAAACCCATGGGTCCTAAAAACCTTGGGCTCCCAGGGACTATCTCAGGGGTGGTGGACATATCAGGAACCCTCCCAGGTGCCGCGACGCCCCCAGGGTGCCCCCCAGTGTTGACGGTGCCCCTAGGGGCCCTCGCAACATCAGTGGCATACTCAGGTGCATTCTTAGGAGCGACGGTACCCCAGGGACCCTGACTGGAGCAGCGAAGCCTGCAGGGACCTACAGGGACCTACCCAGGGGCAGTGCAGCCCCCAGGGACCATCCCACAGACCGTTTCAGGGGGAGTAGCTCACCGAGAACCCTCCCAGGGTCGGTGGCGCCCCCAGGGGTCCCTCCCAGGGTCGGTGGTGCACCTGTGGTCCCTTTCATTAGAAGAGGAATGCACAGGGACCATTCCAGTGGCAGCAGAGCCTCCAGGGACCATCCCAGAGCCCCTCCCAGGGACGGCGGCACCTCAAAGGACACTCCCAGGGGCATCCACACCCTCAGAGACCTTTCCAGGGACGTTAGTGCCCCCAGAGACCTTCCTAGGGGTTCCAGGGGGCCCTATGGCATGCTTGTTTGTTGTGTCATATTTTCGTACATTACATACTTCCCGAAGTCCCTTACTTAATTATGATTGGTGGACTTTTATCCCGCCAAATTACAGCCAATAGGAGAAGAGAGCAGTCAGTCAGCACAACACCTCAACTTATGTTTTCCTGTTGATATTATTCTCTGTTACCTCCTTCAAAATGCGATGATACTGGTGGAAATGTGATGGGCGGTGTATTTTATTTAACGTTGCATCTCCCAGAGTAATAAATTGAGCATAAACTACTGCACCCATGGGTCCTACAGGCCTGGCGCTCCCAGGGTCTATCTCAGGGGTGGTGTACATATCAGGAACCCTCCCAGGTGCCGCGACGCCCCCACGGTGCCACCCAGTGGTGACGGTGCCCCCAAGGGCACCTCGCAACATCAGTGGCATCCTCAGGTGCATTCTTAGGAGCGACGGCTCCCCAGGGACCCTGACTGGAGCAGCAGAGACTGCAGGGACCTACCCAGGGGCAGCGCAGCCCCCAGGGACAATCTCAGAAGCCGTTCAAGGGGCAGTGGTGTACTGGAAACCCTCCCAGGGTCGGTGGCGCCCCCAGGGACCCTTCCAGGGGCGGTGGTGCGCCTGGGGTCCCTCTCATTGGAAGAGGAATGCACAGGGACCATTCCAGTGGCAGCAGAGCCTCCGGGGACCATCCCAGAGAACCTCCCAGACGCGGTGGAACCTCAAAGGACACTCCCAGGGGCATCCACACCCCTAGAGACCCTTCTAGGGACGTTAGTGCCCCCACAGACTTTCCTAGGGGTCCCAGGGGGCCCTATGGCATGCTTGTTTGTTTTGTCATATTTTCGACATTTCATACTTCCTGAAGTCCCTTTCTTAACTGTGATTGGTGGAATATTCTTTTAACCCGATAAATTACAGCCAATAGGAAAAGAGAGCAGTCAGTCAGCACAACACCCCAACTTATGTTTTCCTGTTGATATTATTCACCGTTACCTTCTTCAAAATGTGATGATACTGGTGGAAATGTCATGGGCGGTGTATTTATTTTATGTTGCATCTCCCAGAGTAATAAATTGAGCAAAAACTACTGCACCCATGGGTCCTACAGGCCTGGCGCTCCCAGGGGCCATCCCAGGGGTGGTGGACATCTGAGGAACCCTTCCAGATGCCGCGACGCCCCAGGGTTCCCCCCAATGGTGACTGTGCCCCCAGGGAGCCTCGCAACAACAGCGGTATCCTCAGGTGCATTCTCAGGAACAACGGCACCCCAGGGACCCTGACTGGAGCAGTGGAGCCTGTAGGGACCTTCCCAGGGAACGCGCAACCTCCTTGACCATCCCAAGAAACCGTTCCAGGGGCAGTGGTGCACTGGAAACCCTCCCAGGGTCAGTGGCGCCTGAGGGACCCTCCCAGGAGCAGGGGTGCACCTGGGGTCCTCTCATTGGAAGGAATGCTGAGAGGACCATTCCAGTGGCAGCAGAGCCTCCAGGGACCATCCCAGAGACCCTCCCAGAGATGGTGGCACCTCAAAGCACACTCCCAGGGGCATCCACACCCCGAGAGACCTTTCCAGGGACGTTATTGGTCCCAGGGGGCTCTATGGCATTACTGTTTGTTGTGTCATATTTTCTTACATTACATACTTGCCGAAGTCCCTTACTTAACTATGATTGGTGGACTTTTAACCCGCCAAATTACAGCCAACAGGAGGAGAGAGCAGTCGGTCAGCACAACACCCCAACTTATGTTTTCCTGTTGATATTATTCGCCGTTACTTTCTTCAAAATGCGATGATACTGGTGGAACTGTGATGGGCGGTGTATTTCTTTAACGTTGCATCTCCCAGAGAAATAAATTGAGCATAAACTACTAAACCCATGGGTCCTAAAAACCTTGGGCTCCCAGAGGACATCTCAGGGGTTGTGGACATATCAGGAACCCTCCCAGGTGCCGCGACGCCCCTAGGGTGCCCCCCAGTGGTGACGGTACCCCCAGGGGCCCTTGCAACATCAGTGGCATCCTCAGGTGCATCCTCAAGAGCGACAGCACCCCTGGGACCCTGACTGGAGCAGCGGAGCCTGCAGGGACCTACCCAGGGGCAGCGCAGCCCCCAGAGACCATCCCACAGACCGTTTCAGGGGTCAGTAGCTCACCGAGAACCCTTCCAGGGTCGGTGGCGCCCCCAGGGGTCCCTCCCAGGGTCGGTGGTGCACCTGGGGTCCCTTTCATTAGAAGAGGAATGCACAGGGACCATTCCAGTGGCAGCAGAGCCTCCAGGGACCATCCCAAAGCCCCTCCCAGGGACGGCGGCACCTCAAAGGACACTCCCAGTGGCATCCACACCCTCAGAGACCTTTCCAGGGACGTTAGTGCCCCCAGAGACCTTCCTAGGGGTTCCAGGGGGCCCTATGGCATGCTTGTTTGTTGTGTCATATTTTCGTACATTACATACTTCCCGAAGTCCCTTACTTAACTATGATTGGTGGACTTTTATCCCGCCAAATTACAGCCAATAGGAGAAGAGAGCAGTCAGTCAGCACAACACCTCAACTTATGTTTTCCTGTTGATATTATTCTCCGTTACCTGCTTCAGAATGCGATGATACTGGTGGAAATGTGATGGGCGGTGTATTTTATTTAACGTTGCATCTCCCAGAGTAATAAATTGAGCATAAACTACTGCACCCATGGGTCCTACAGGCCTGGCGCTCCCAGGGTCTATCTCAGGGGTGGTGTACATATCAGGAACCCTCCCAGGTGCCGCGACGCCCCCACGGTGCCACCCAGTGGTGACGGTGCCCCCAAGGGCACCTCGCAACATCAGTGGCAACCTCAGGTGCATTCTTAGGAGAGACGGCTCCCCAGGGACCCTGACTGGAGCAGTGGAGCCTGTAGGGACCTTCCCAGGGGCAGGACAGTCCCCAGGGACCATCCCAGAAACCGTTCCTGGAGCAGTGGTGCACTGGAAACTCTCCCATGTTCGGTGGCGCCCCCAGGGACCCTTCCAGGGGCGGTGGTGCGCCTGGGGTCCCTCTCATTGGAAGAGGAGTGCCAAGGGACCATTGCAGGGGCAGCAGAGCCTCCAGGGACCATCCCGGAGATGGCGGCACCTCAAAGGACACTCCCAGGTGCATCCACACCTCCAGAGACCTTTTCAGGGACGTTAGTGCCCCCAGAGACCTTCCTAGGGGTCCCAGGGGACCCTATGGCATGCTTGTTTGTTGTGTCATATTTTCGTACATTACACACTTCCCGAAGTCCCTTACTTAACTATGATTGGTGGACTTTTAACCCGACAAATTACAGGCATTAGGAGAAGAGAGCAGTCAGTCAGCACAACGCCTCAACTTATGTTTTCCTGTTGATATTATTCTCCGTTACCTTCTTCAAAATGTGATGATACTGGTGGAAATGTGACGGGCTTTGTATTTATTTAACGTTGCATCTCCCAGAGTAATAAATTGAGCATAAACTACTGCACCCATAGGTCCTACAAGCCTGGCGCTCCCAGGGACTATCTCAGGGGTGGTGGACATATCAGGAACCCTCCCACGTGCCGCGACGCCCCCAGGGTGTCCCCCAGTGTTGACGGTGCCCCCAGGGGCCCTCGCAACATCAGTGGCATACTCAGGTGCATTCTTAGGAGCAACGGTACCCCAGGGACCCTGACTGGAGCAGCGGAGCCTGCAGGGACCTACCCAGGGGCAGCGCAGCCTCCAGCGACCATCCCAGAAACCGTTCCAGGGGCAGTGGTGCACTGGAAACCCTCCCAGGGTCGGTGGCGCCCCCAGGGACCCTCCCAGGGGCGGTGGTGCATCTGGAGTCCCTCTCATTGGAAGAGGAATGCACAGGGACCATTCCAGTGGCAGCAGAGCCTCCAGGGACCATCCCAGAGACCCTCCCAGAGATGGTGGCACCTCAAAGCACACTCCCAGGGGCATACACACCGAGAGACCTTTCCAGGGACGTTATTGGTCCCAGAGACCTTCCTAGAGGTCCCAGGGGGCTCTATGGCATTACTGTTTGTTGTGTCATATTTTCTTACATTACATACTTCCCGAAGTCCCTTACTTAACTATGATTGGTGGACTTTTAACCCGCCAAATTACAGCCAACAGGAGGAGAGAGCAGTCGGTCAGCACAACACCCCAACTTATGTTTTCCTGTTGATATTATTCGCCGTTACCTTCTTCAAAATGCGATGATACTGGTGGAAATGTGATGGGCGGTGTATTTTATTTAACGTTGCATCTCCCAGAGAAATAAATTGAGCATAAACTACTAAACCCATGGGTCCTAAAAACCTTGGGCTCCCAGAGGACATCTCAGGGGTTGTGGACATATTAGGAACCCTCCCAGGTGCCGCGACGCCCCTAGGGTGCCCCCCAGTGGTGACGGTACCCCCAGGGGCTCTTGCAACACCAGTGGCATCCTCAGGTGCATCCTCAAGAGCGACGGCACCCCTGGGACCCTGACTGGAGCAGCAGAGCCTGCAGGGACCTACCCAGGGGCAGCGCAGCCCCCAGAGACCATCCCACAGACCGTTTCAGGGGTCAGTAGCTCACCGAGAACCCTCCCAGGGTCGGAGGTGCACCTGGGGTCCCTTTCATTAGAAGAGGAATGCACAGGGACCATTCCAGTGGCAGCAGAGCCTCCAGGGACCATCCCAGAGCCCCTCCCAGGGACGGCGGCACCTCAAAAGACACTCCCAGGGGCATCCACACCCTCAGAGACCTTTCCAGGGACGTTAGTGCCCCCAGAGACCTTCCTAGGGGTTCCAGGGGGCCCTATGGCATGCTTGTTTGTTGTGTCATATTTTTGTACATTACATACTTCCCGAATTCCCTTACTTAACTATGATTGGTGGACTTTTAACCCGCCAAATTACAGCCAATAGGAGAAGAGAGCAGTCAGTCAGCACAACACCTCAACTTATGTTTTCCTGTTGATATTATTCTCCGTACCTGCTTCAGAATGCGATGATACTGGTGGAAATGTGACGGGCGGTGTATTTATTTAACGTTGCATCTCCCAGAGAAATAAATTGAGCATAAACTACTACACCCATGGGTCCTAAAAACCTTGGGTTCCCAGAGGACATCTCAGGGGTTGTGGACATATCAGGAACCCTCCCAGGTGCCGCGACGCCCCTAGGATGCCCCCCAGTGGTGACGGTACCCCCAAGGGCCCTTGCAACATCAGTGGCATCCTCAGGTGCATCCTGTGGAGCGACGGCACCCCTGGGACCCTGACTGGAGCAGCGGAGCCTGCAGTTACCTACCCAGGGGCAGCGCAGCCCCCAGGGACCATCCCACAGACCGTTTCAGGGGGAGTAGCTCACCAAGAACCCTCCCAGGGTCGGTGGCGCCCCCAGGGGTCCCTCCCAGGGTCGGTGGTGCACCTGGGGTCCCTTTCATTAGAAGAGGAATGCACAGGGACCATTCCAGTGGCAGCAGAGCCTCCAGGGACCATCCCAGAGCCCCTCCCAGGGACGGCGGCACCTCAAAGGACACTCCCAGGGGCATCCACACCCTCAGAGACCCTTCCAGGGACGTTAGTGCCCCCAGAGACCTTCCTAGGGGTTTCAGGGGGCCCTATGGCATGCTTGTTTGTTGTGTCATATTTTCGTACATTACATTCTTCCCGAAGTCCGTTACTTAACTATGATTGGTGGACTTTTATCCCGCCAAATTACAGCCAATAGGAGAAGAGAGCAGTCAGTCAGCACAACACCTCAACTTATGTTTTCCTGTTGATATTATTCGCCGTTAACTTCTTCAAAATGCGATGATAATGGTGGAAATGTGATGGGCGGTGTATTTTATTTAACGTTGCATCTCCCAGAGTAATAAATTGAGCATAAACTACTGCACCCATGGGTCCTACAGTCCTGGCGCTCCCAGGGTCTATCTCAGGGGTGGTGTACATATCAGGAACCCTCCCAGGTGCCGCGACGCCCCCACGGTGCCACCCAGTGGTGACGGTGCCCCCAAGGGCACCTCGCAACATCAGTGGCATCCTCAGGTGCATTCTTAGGAGCGACGGCTCCCCAGGGACCCTGACTGGAGCAGCAGAGCCTGCAGGGACCTACCCAGGGGCAGCGCAGCCCCCAGGGACAATCTCAGAAGCCGTTCAAGGGGCAGTGGTGTACTGGAAACCCTCCCAGGGTCGGTGGCGCCCCCAGGGACCCTTCCAGGGGCGGTGGTGCGCCTGGGGTCCCTCTCATTGGAAGAGGAATGCACAGGGACCATTCCAGTGGCAGCAGATCCTCCGGGGACCATCCCAGAGAACCTCCCAGACGCGGTGGCATCTCAAAGGACAGTCCCAGGGGCATCCACACCCCTAGAGACCCTTCTAGGGACGTTAGTGCCCCCAGAGACTTTCCTAGGGGTCCCAGGGGGCTCTATGGCATGCTTGTTTGTTTTGTCATATTTTCGACATTTCGTACTTCCTGAAGTCCCTTTCTTAAATGTGATTGGTGGAATATTCTTTTAACCCGCTAAATTACAGCCAATAGGAAAAGAGAGCAGTCAGTCAGCACAACACCCCAACTTATGTTTTCCTGTTGATATTATTCACCGTTACCTTCTTCAAAATGTGATGATACTGGTGGAAATGTCATGGGCGGTGTATTTATTAACATTGCATCTCCCAGAGTAATAAATTGAGCATAAACTACTGCACCCATAGGTCGTACAGGCCTGGCGCTCCCAGGGACTATCTCAGGGGTGGTGGACATATGAGGAACCCTCCCAGGTGCCGCGATGTCCCCAGGGTGCCCCCCAGTGTTGACGGTGCCCCCAGGTGCCCTCGCAACATCGGTGGCATACTTAGGTGCATTCTTAGGAGCGACGGTACCCCAGGGACCCTGACTGCAGCAGCGGAGCCTGCAGGGACCTACCCAGGGGCAGCGCAGCCACCAGCGACCATCCCAGAAACCGTTCCAGGGGCAGTGGTGCACTGGAAACCCTCCCAGGGTCGGCGGCGCCCCCAGGGACCCTCCTAGGGGACGTCGCGGGACCTGGGAGGGTTCCTGAGATGTCCACCACCCCTAGGAAGGCCCCTGGGAGCGCCAGGCTGTAGGACCCATGGGTGCAGTAGTTTATGCTCAATTTGTTACTCTGGGAGATGCAACATTAAATAAATACACCGCCCTTGACATTTCGAACCAGTATCTTCACATTCTGAAGAAGGAAACGGCAAATAATATCAACAGGAAAACATAAGTTGGGGTGTTGTGCTGACTGACTCCTCTCTTCTCCTATTGGCTGTAATTTCGTGGGTTAAAAGAATATTCCACCAATCACAGTTAAGTAAGGGACTTCGGGATGTATGTAATGTACGAAAATATGACACAACAAACAAGCATGCCATTCGCCCCGTGGGACTCCTGGAAAGTTCTCTGGGGGCACTAACGTCCCTGGAAACGTCTCTGGGGATGTGGATACCCCTGGGAGTGTCGTTTGAGGTGCCGCCGTCTCCGGGATGGTCCCTGCAGGCTCTGCTGCCCCTGGAATGGTCCCTGGGCACTCCTCTTCCAATAAGAGTGACTCCAGGCGCACCACCGCCCCTGGAAGGGTCCCTGGGGGCGCCACCGACCCTGGGAGGGTATCCAGTGTGCCAATGCCCCTAGAACAGTTTCTGGGATGGTCTCTAGGGACTGTGCTGCCCCTGGGTAGGTCCCTGCAGGCTCTGCTGCTCCAGTTAGGGTCCCTGGGGTGCCGTCGCTCCTGAGAATGCACCTGACGATGCCGCTGTTGTTGCGAGGGCCCCTGGGGGCACCGTCACCACTGGGGGGCACCCTGGAGGCGTCGCGGCACCTGGGAGGGTTCCTGAGATGTCCACCACCCCTCCGAAGGCCCCTGGTAGCGCCAGGCCTGTAGGACCCATGGGTGCAGTAGTTTATGCTCAATTTATTACTCTAGAAGATGCAACATTAAATAAATACACCGCCCTTGACATTTCCACCAGTATCTTCACATTCTGAAGAAGGAAACGGCAAATAATATCAACAGGAAAACATAAGTTGGGGTGTTGTGCTGACTGACTGCTATCTTCTCCTATTGGCTGTAATTTGGTGGGTTAAAAGAATATTCCACCAATCACAGTTAAGTAAGGGTCTTTGGGAAATATGTAATGTACGAAAATATGACACTACAAACAAGCATGCCATAGGGCCCCCTGGGACACCTAGGAAGGTCTCTCGGGGCACTAACATCCCTGGAAAATTTCTGGGGGGTGTGGATTCCCCTGGGAGTGTGCTTTGAGATGCCGCCGTCCCTGGGAAGGTCTCTGGGATGGTCCCTGGAGGCTCAACTGCCCCTGGAATGGTCCCTGGGCATTTCTCTTCCAATGAGAGGGACCCCAGGTACACCATCGCCCCTGGAAGGGTCCCTGGGGGCGCCACCGACCCTGGGAGGGTTTCCAGTGCGCCACTGCCCCTGGAACATTTTCTGGGATTTTCCCTGGGGGCTGTGCTGCCCCTGGGTAGGTCCCTGCAGGCTCCACTGCTCCATTCAGGGTCTCTAGGGTGCCGTCGCTCCTGAGAATGCACCTGAGGATGTCGCTGTTCTTGCGAGGGCCCATGGGGGCACCGTCACCACTGGCGGGCACCCTGGGGCCGTAGCGGCATCTGGGAGGGTTCCTGAGATGTCCACCACCCCTGGGATGGCCCCTGGGAGAGCCAGGCCTGTAGGACCCATGGGTGCAGTAGTTTATGCTCAATTTATTACTCTGGGAGATGCAACGTTAAATAAATACTCCGCCCATCACATTTCCACCAGTATCATCACATTCTAAAGAAGGTAACGGCGAATAATATCAACAGGAAAACATAAGTTGGGGTGTTTTGCTGACTGACTGCTCTCTTCTCCTTTTGGCTATATTTTGGTGGGTTAAAAGAATATTCCATCAATCACAGTTAAGTAAGGGATTGCTGGACTCATGCAATATGTACGATACCACGATCAAGCCCCTGGCGGTGCCGCTGCCCCGGGGGGAGTCGCTGGGGACGCCGCCGCCTTTATGAGGACCTCTGGGGACGCCACAGCAATTGGAAAGGCTAATGTGGGCGCCATTGCACCTAGAAATGACCCTGGGGTTGCCGCCGACCTTTGGAGGGGCCCTGGGGTCGCAAACGCCCCTGGGAGGGCCCCTAAGGTCGCCTCCATCCTTGGTACGCCTCCTTAATGGCACTGCCACCTTTGAGAGAGCCCCCTATTGCTGTGGTCGCCGCTGTCAGTACCCCTATGGGCGGAGTTGCATATGGGAAGGGCCCTGGTAGCGCCTACGCCCTTGGAAGGAGCTTTGGGGACGCCACTGCCCCGTCGATGGTCCCTGGAGGCCCTTTATGGTGCCACGGCCCCAAGGAGGCTCGCAAGGGGCACAACCGACCATGGCAGGGTCATGGGGTCGCGGCCACGCCAAAAGAGGGTCCCTGGGGACGTCGCCGCCCTTGGCAAGTCGACGCCCCTGA